GCAAAAACAACAGCCAAAAACATCAGTAAAAAGAACATGGAGAAGTTTTCTGTATTTGCAGAACACCTGAAGAACTGAATGGAGACAAGAAGAGAGAGCCGATGATCAAGAGAACTCCAGTGGCACTTGAACATTTTGTGCAAGATGAAACGCAGGACTTGGAATTATAACCTATCTGAGGATTCATTGACATGCTTCTCCTGGAGGAAGACATTGGATTAAGTACTACTTCCTCTCCTCTCCTGGTTATTTCCTTTCACTCATTTACAGAAGCAAATGTTGCCAAAAGGGACTTCCCTGCAGCTCAGCAACACCAGTTATCACCACTATGTGTCTCTACTGCCACTGCTTAAACCCACCTGATGCACAGCATCTGAATACTTCTCTTTTGCACCTGGAACATTATTTGCATTTGGAATTCCTTGATTATTTACCTAAGTCAACCAGAGTGCATTTGGATTATCTCTAGTATTCCTTACTGCTCACTATCTACTTCATGTAGGTTGGAAAAGGGACACAAAATATGATCCAACTTTCTGTTTACTTTACTAGCAAAAAGAGGGAGAGGTTTATATACACACCATTAGAGCAAATAGAGTTGTTCTACTGGATCTTGTTTCAGTAGCATTTATTCACAGATTATATTGCTTAGGAGGCACCATAAAGGAAATTACATTTCCCTGTAGGAAAAGAAATGTATTTTGTGGAAATATATTTTTTCTTTAAAAACAAGAAAGCTACTTCATATGGTGACGATGGTGATCGTGGTTTTCATTTATATAGACCTAGTGCACAAAACAGTTAACGCATTCATTTCTCTAAGAGTCATGCGGAAGAGTCTGGAAATGAATGATTTGCTTAAGTGAGTCATATTATTTGAAAAAAAAAAATCATCAATGCTCTTGAGAGCTTTCAGACCAGGGTTTTATCATGCAATTGCCCTGCCTCACTCAACAAATTTTATGAAGGATCCAAACAACAACGAGTTTCATTTGTGACATGCAAGTCCTGTCTCTCTTTTCACATCACTTCTTCCATTTTTTTTCCCACCAGGAAAAAAAAAAAGTTAAGGAGAGGAACAATAGTGGCACAATGCGCTTTGTTCAGCAGCGCTAGGAGTCCCTTGATGAATTATGGCTCCAATGCCATTCTGCTTTTGAACAGACTGCTCATGTGTCTTGTTCCCACAAGCCTTGCTACCACGAGTCTAACACCGTCACGTCAGAGCAAGTGGCTCGAAGGTATCTCTTGAAGACAAGTCTGATTAGAAACGAATAGCAGGTTTAATGGCCACTTCACACATTGTATGTTCAGTGCATGTTTCATAATATCACATTCAAGGTAATTATGTATGTCTGTGTACACAGCAGTGGATGCAGTTATCCAACTGAGTTACAACAGTGAATGTATATTTGTATTGTTTGTTATGAACTAGGACAAAACCCCAGTTAGCCATGAAGCTCACGACTCAGGCCAATCACTGTTAGCCTACACTACTTGAAGATAAAAGTTCTGAAGATAAAAACCAGGGCAGGAGAAGAGTGAGGTGGCCACCCAGAAGAAAAGCAGATTATATATGCAATAAAATAGAAATGTGTTTCTATCTAAGGAACTGTATGCAAAGATACTTTAAGTCCTATGCATTTCAGTGGGTCTACTTAAATAGGGCTAATTTTGGATTAAATCCGTGGTTTCTTTTAAATTCTGGTTATAAGAGGGCTCATCTATTGAGACCAACAGATCGGAGATGATAAAATGGAGCTGTTCAACTTTTGTACTACACTGCCCAATAACCAGAGCTCTCGGTGGTTTACGTTGATTCTTAATAGGTCCACAATACAACATTTGTTCACACAAGATGTGGCCCTGGTTTGGGCAGGGTGTCAAAGAGCATTAGCCAAATTCCTGGTGGAGGATGTGGGGGCCGCTTGGCTCTTGGCCATGATAATTCGAATGGGACTTCTTTTGTGTTCTGTTTTGTGGGACTTCTTTTGTGTGGAGAGCATCCTCTTGTCCTGATCGGAACTGGCAAGCCAGTTCGCCCTGGGGACCAGGCCACCACACCGGCCCCATCCCAGGGAACAGGCCGAGCTTTCCTCTTCCCCTCCGGAGGCCGGCGAGGCAGGGCACCGGCACCGGCACCGGCACCGGCACCAGCCTCTCCTCCTGCTGCTGCAGCTGCTGCTGCTACGGCAGCTGCTTAAGCCGCTCGCCCGGGAAGATGAGCTAATCTTCCCACCCATGTTCCCCATCTTCACACCCCGCCCTTTTCCGCCTCCTCCCGCCACCACACGCGCACGCACCCCCACGCGCCAAGTGGCTGCTGGTAATTCCTCGCCGGGCGGCAATGCCAGAAAGATGCCTCCCAGGCAGCCCAGGAGGGCGAAGGCGAGACGGGAAGCGTCTGGGGAGGAGGCTGGGCGTCCGGAGAACACGGCGTGCGGGGGGGGGGGGGAGTGTGGAGTGCGTGTGAGCGCGCGCGCGCGCGCGCGTGTGATGAATATTTTAGGCTGCCTTCTAATTAAAGCAACTTGGGCTCTTGCTTGCTCCCCCCGCCCCCCCCCGCACGCGCTCGAGCTGGGACAGCTCTTTTTACGTCTGCGGGGCGGCCGCATAAGAAGCGAACGGCGGCGAGAGACGCCGCGCTACAACTTCGGCGGCAGCCAGCGAGAGCGGCGCTCGCGGGGTTGCCAAGCGGGATAGGAGCGGGCTGTCCACCCACTTACAAGTCGATACGATCTGACTCGGCGGCGGCCACCTCACTCACGGACTCTCCTTGGAAGCCTATATAAAGCGCGGCCATGGAGTAGGTGGAGGAGACCAGACGGCGTGCGCCGCGCCAGCGAAAGGACGGCACCCGAGCAAGCAGGCAGGCAGGCAAGGGAGCGCAGGCGAGGCGAGGCTTCCCCCTCCTGACAGCTGCAAGCTGCGCCTCCCCGGCAAAGCAGAGCGACTTACTCCGGCCCGCTTAAGGCGCGGAGGAGACCCGAGGCAGGTAAAGCTGCTGCGCACGTGAGCGGCGCCCTCGAGGAGCAGGCGACGGGCTTGCGCGCCCGAACGGAGGCTCGACTAGGCGAGGAGGAGTGGCGGCGGCGGCGGCAATCACAGCGGCGCGTCCGCTTCCCGCCAAGTTCAGCTGCCGCTGCAGCACGCCGAGGGCGTCTCCGCAGGGTGTCGCCTGACCGGCCTCTCGGCCTAAGCCCGTCCCCGTCCGGCGAGCCAGCGAGTGAAGCCTGCCAGCGGGGCAAAGCCTAGGGGATAGATGCGCTTCAGCGTGCGGGGGCCAGTGGCCCTGGCTGCGAGGCTGACCCGCAGCCGGGACGGACTCGGAGAGGAGGCTGCTTGGCGTGCGGCTGCCTCCCAAAGCTCGTGGCGCAGAGGCGCGGTAGCGTTTGGAGGGTCGCGGGGCGGAGGATGAGAGCCCGAGGAAGGTGCTGCAGCCCACGGGGGTTGAGGCTGTGCGGCACGAGGAAAGGCCGGCGGGGGCGGGGGCGGGGGGAGCAGATCCCACCGCGCGGGACTTCGCCGAACTTCGTCTGGGCTGGGGCTACTTTCCCTCTTGGCTGCCCTTTCCTCCCTTCGCCAGGATGGGCCCCTCTCGGACTTGCAACGCTCTGCGCGAAGCATCCTCGGCCACGTGGAGGAAGCCATGCCTGCCCTGGAGCGACCGAGTGGACGGGCGCTTCCCGGGATAGGCGGGTGGCGGGGGGGGGGGGGGCGGCGCGGCTGGATGGGCGCGGGAGACGCTGCTCCAAATGCTGCACCTGCCGAAATGGCTGCTCTAGGGTGAGGCTGACGTTACTTCCATCGCCTCGGCGGGAGGAGGTTTCGTGAAGAGGGTTCCTGAACCCACGCTTTCACTGGGTGGAAACAATGGTGTGTGAGTGCACCCCATGAGCAAGTTGGCCATCTCAGGCAGGATCTTCTACGGAAAGCCTTGCTGATCTGCCACAGATCTCTCAGAGATCTGCAAGAAGATCCCGATCTGCCTTCTGCACCTTGCTGGGTCTATAAAGACTGAGCAGGCAACGGGGGTCCCACCAAACCACAGATACTCAAGGGAGCCATGGAGTCTGCAGCAGAATATAGACCACTAGTCTAGGAAGTGCTTACACATCCATACTTTGGTAAGGTGCCCCTTGAGAGAGAGTGATTTGTATTCATCCACAGAATGCTGTGTAAAGTGTACAAAACTTTTCCAGCAAGCAAGAAATGTATAACCCCGTAGTTTATTGGCTGAACCAGTGGAGTCAGAATGTGTTCCCAGCATGGGTTTAATCACTAGGTAGCACTGCTGTGGGTTTGCCCCACTCCCTTCAGAAGAAACATTGATTCCCAGGGCACTGTTGGTGCACATGACACATCCATTCAGGGCTCCAGTGCATGCCAAAAAAACAGTGGTTGTTCAGGTTTTGCTTTTGGAACAGTGATCAGGAAAGTTTCTTCAGTCAGGTCTGATACCTTAATAGCCTGCAGCTCTGCTTCCTTCTAAGAACTGCACTTATTAGGCTCAGGGAAGATAAAAAATTGTGCTCCTCCCTTGTCTTCCAAGCCACAATTTTAGTTTGATTTATTTGTTTAACTACCTTCTGTTTTAAACAAGCCTCAGTTAAACTCTGTGGAACTCTGAATACCAGTTGTAGAACAAGGTGATGATGGCTATTATGGGAATACTTCTGGGAAGTTCAGTTCCCCTTCTATTGTTCATTCCTTCTCTGCTAAAGAGCATAAAACTACATCACTGCACAGAAGCTGACAGCATCTGTATCTCTTTTAATGAGAGGGAAGAGAGAGAAATGATTAGAACCTTCATTTCTTTAACAACTTGAGAATATTTAAATTCAACATTCCACTGTTTGAGCAGATGTCAGTCTTATGTGACACTTGCCCTTCCTTCTTCCTAGACCTCCTCCCATTTTCTTTTTTTCTGTTTTAGGGAATAGACTAAGAACGACGTGATTCCATTTTCCTTCCTCCAGCTGTTAATCCTCCTGAGTGCAATGAGCAGACTTCTACGGTCTCCTGCACTGGTTGGGCTGGTGCTGGTGATGCTTTCAGCGGGACATTGCAAAGAGAGAGCTGAATCTAGTGCAGGGCTGATGGAAAGGCAAAACCTCTTAAACCTGATCATGGAGATAATTCAGGAACTGAAAAAGTACCACCTGGAGGACGATGAGGAGAACGGAGTTCAGTACAAACAAGACTACCTTTTGGACCGCAGGGAAGTACCCGATTATGGAGCATACTCAGAAGAACAGAGAGTTGGTAAGTTTACTGTGTTGTGATTGATGCTTTGTTTCTTTCCATGTTCACAAAAAGGAGAATTCTGCTCTCACTTTGCTAGAAATCTTCTTGGATGTCTGTACGAATTGCCTCAGTCCTTATGCTAGGAAATTCTTCAGTAGGAGACGGCTTGGATGGTAAAAGCCTGAAAAGGAAAGCTCTCCACTGGCTGGAACCAGCCATAGCCGACATCTCAGTTGCCGAAGGCTCTTTGCCAGCACTGGATGGCGCCGAAGAGCAAAAACAATAGGTTGAAATGCGAGCAGCAGCAAGTGAAGGAGATTGTTTTATGGGTCTAGCCCTGTGCTGCAACGGTCCTAGTCCTTTTCTTACTCTAGCCCAGCTTCCCCAACCTGGTGCCCTCCAAATGTGTCAGCCTACAGTTCTCAGCATCCTCCAACTATAGTTGCTGTGGGATGTTGGGAGCCATAGGCCACCACCTTTGGGGGCACCAGGGTAGGGAAGGCTGCCCGAGCCAACTTGCACCTGAAATCCTTCACCTGAAATGTCCTTTCACAGAAGTTTCCTTTGAAAACTTTCTACAACTGTAGCACCCTGGTTACTCCCACTTTTCATCTTCAGGGCACTTTTACAATGCTGTGCAGCTGTTTTGCTACATTTCCTCTTGCATCTCTCAGCCTGCATTTAGTGAACCGTGTCTTGATAGTTTACTCTGGAGAACTAAATGGGGACTATCCTGCTTCTAAGAGGAGAGAGCAGCATCCCATTCAAAACACTTCATTCCCAAAATACGACAAGTTAATCCATGACCTCCTTTTGATTTTTCAGTGCATTTCTAATGATATTACACAGACAGTCTTCAGTTGTAGGCCGACTAAATCACAACAGGGAGCATTTGTGCCTGGCAGATCTACCATTTCTGCACATGCAGACTCTGAACCTGCTTTTCATGGTTTCTGCACAGAATTTAATACCCATGTTTGACTACTGTAGCTCACTCAGAGATCTTCTTCAAATGTCGCAACATTTTTTCAATTACTATGAAGTGTCATTCAGTACCACTTATTTTGATGGAGGTGTTAAGACAGGTGTTCAAGCATACTTACAAAGAGGAGTATGCACAGGGTTTTCAATTGCAAACTTTACTCTGTTCTTCCCCACTGCCCACTACATATAATGTCTGGATTGAAAACACTTTGCTGTGTCCACTTTAGAACAGGTGGGTACTTTATCTCTTGGTTCTTCTCTCTGGCTTATTTACTGTGGTTGTTCAAAGCTTTACTTAAAAATAGCAAACTGAAACCCCAATGTTTACTCTGAAATCTACTCAGAAAGGGGAGGTGGTTTTATGGCTGATGTAAGAGTAAGCTCATCAGTGTTGTGCAAAACAGGTTTCTGCTCTAAACTGGAACAGCATCTCCCTTCCTCTCATACAGAAGCCTAAATGTATGTCACATATGCAACCAGGTTCTTTCTGTAATGTTCATCTGTAAGCAGTGCAGCACTTCCTCCCTACCTGTTCCACTGATATCAATCGAACTTAAAATGTCACCTGTCACCCCCTGGGTAGCACAAGACTTGCTTCTTAGTTGACATACACAGCACTGATGGCAGGAAATGTCATGCTGGAACCAATGTCATGCTTGCAGCCTACCCAGCCCAGCACCAAGTTTCCCACAGTGGGCAGCCAGATGTCTCTGGGAAGCCCAGAAGTAGGACATCAGCATAATAATATCCTCTTGCTCGTGATCCTAGCAACTGGTGTTGAGACTTATAGTGTTATTGATAGTGGAGGTGATGCAGAGTCAGCGTGACTAGACGTCACTGATAGCCTCGTTCTCTGTGCCTGGGAGACGTGCCCATGAGCCTGAAAATCCACCTGAACAAAATCCATTGACCACACCCCTTGAAAATGGGGCATCATAAATACTTCACTAGCTCGGGCAGTGGACTCAGCAAGGGCGAAGAAACTGAAGCCCAATCCAGACAAGACTGGGATGCTATTGGTGTTACTGACCAGATGAAGGCCATGCAGTCTGTTCAGGACAGAAATGAACTCCCCATTGGAGGAGCAGGGATATGGCTTGGGGGTGCTGCTTGGGCATTCTGTATCACTTGAGGCCCAGGTGGCTTCAGCAGCGTGGAGTTCTGGCTGGTGGCCCAGCTATGCCTCTGTCTGGACAGATTTAGCCAGGTTTCAGTAATCTAGGCTATGGTGATCTCTAAATGAGACTACTGCAATGCACTGCACTCCACATGGGGCTGCCCCAAAGAATGTCCAGAAGCTGCCACTTGTGCGAACTGTGCCATCCAGGTTAGCTAGAAGAACCAGAAGGTCCATGTATAGAACAGTAATTCTGGCCTGTTTGCATTGACTGCCTATATGTATCTGAGCCCAGTTCAAGGTTGATGGTTTAGCTTAATAGACCCTTACATGAATGGGGACCAGAATACCTGAAGGAATGCCACCCCCAACCACAACTGACATGGACAACACGACTGAGAGCTGGGGCAGCCTCCGATTGCCACCTGTGAGGGTAGTTCAGTCGGTAGCAATGAGAAGAGTCTTCACGGTGGTGGCCCCTCGGTTGTGGATTAAGCTTCCCATTGAGAGCTGCCTGGGGCCAATTCCAATATCATGTTGGTGTCAGGTTGAGACTGTCCTCGGTGACAGAGTATTCAATCAGTTTTAATATCATACTGGGACATGTCAACTGCTTAGAAAGCTCTCTTATGATTTAATTAGTCAAAGCTAGCATAGCTTTTATAAAGTTGTTTTCAGTTTGGTTCTTCAGATTTTGTATTGTAATGTTATGATGTTTTAACTGTTATTCTACGTATATCATTTTAGTGTTGTGCTTTATATTGCATTTCTATTGTATTTTATATGTGGTTGTAAACCACCCAGGGAGCTACAGCTGTTGGGTGTTATAGAAATAAAATTAATAATAGTAACAAGAACAACACCTGCCAAGAGGAGGATAACCTCCTTCTCTTGGCAAGGGATTTTAGAGCCTGGGAATGGCCACCAAAAAGGCCCTTTCTTACATCCTCACCAAACATACCTCTGCTGGGGGCAAGAGAAGGATTCCCCAAAGACCTTGAACTAAGGTTGATGTGGCCTTTCAGGTAGTTTGGTTCCAAGTCATACAGACTTTTAATGGTCATAACCAGTACTTTTAACTGTGCCTGGAAACCAACCAGCAGCCAAGGAAGTTGTTAGGACAAGGGCCCCATATGCTTCCTATAACCAGCCTGGACTGACAGTCTGACTGCAACATTCAGAACCACTTGAAGTTGCCAAACACTTTTCAAAGACAGCTTCACATCGAGCCTGTTATGGTAGTCCAAACAGGATGTAAGTAAGGCATGCATTCCTTTGCCAGATCAGATGTCAGCTGTGGAAATATACTACTGGTTAACCCTGAAACCTGGGCAGCCAGATTCAGGGATTAATCCACAAGCAAACATAACTGCAAATCTGAGTCCTAATCCCTATTTCCTGATCCGCTTTTCAACTAATAAGACGCACCTCTGTCTTGTCTGGATTAAGCTTCACCTGGTTTGCTGTCATTGGGTCCACTGTCAACATCAGAACTGCATTTGAGCTAGAACAGTTTCCTTGGATCTTGATGGACAAAATTGATATAATTGAGTGTCATCAGCATACTGCTGGCTCTGATAACCAGAAACCAAAATAGCATAGGAAGCAAAAGAGAGCCCCAGGGGAGGGACGCCACTAGCCAGGGCATCAAGCAGGGGACCCCCAACCCTTCTGAAAATAAACTTCATAAAACTCACCTCCAGCTCCCATCCCATCTCGGAAGAAACCATGGTGGATAGTCTTGGCAGTAGCCAGGAGATCCATCAGAACCAATTCATCTGCAAGATCTAGATTTGTCCACCAAGGGAAGACAAGGAGGACCAGTGTGCAGGAATATCATTCATCGCTGGTCAGTTATAACAGTGTGGGTGCTTCTCTTTAGGAGCCTCTAGGTGGTGGAACTTGCAGAGAGAGCCCAGGCAGCCACAGGCCACAGACTCCCCAGCTATGTGCCAAGATAAAAAAACAAGCCACCGAGTTGGGATATATCAGTCAAATAACACTGCAGTGCAAGCAGGTTAATGCATCTTTACAGTAAATAAAAATGAAAATACACACAACAAATAGCAGGCATGAATTGAGCTTCAGTGGTTTAAGAATATCACAAACACAGCTTCTTGTATGTGCACATGTGGCAAAAACAGCGGGCTGCCCCTTAGCTGTCTCTGTCAGATAAAGTGAAAGTGTAACAGAGCAGTGGTATCACTCCCTTGAAGGCCACTGTCATAAACGTACAAAGGAAAATGGTATCAGAGAAAATCCCTGCTTGCCCTACTTGCTACAGTGGGACTCCACTGAGAGCTCAAATGCCAGCGGAAACTAGCAGGCAGATAGGCCTGAGAGGCAGGAATCTGTTTTTTCCATACGTGAATGTGAGAAGCTGTGATTGCGCTATTGCTGCTTTGAAGAAGACCATGTTGTGGTTGACACATGATTGGCATGAATGAATGTTTTATGCTTGTTTATATTTATTAATTTCCTTGTTTGTCATTTTGGGGGCTCTTAATTTGTTACATGTATGTATAAAATGCATCTATTTGTATATCTGATATTATTGTTGTTGTTGTTGTTGTTATTCATTTCTATACTGCCCATAGCCGAAGCTCTCTTGAATAGTTTACAATGAAGTTTAAAAACAAAATTTAATAAACATTAACAATAATTAAAATTAATTTAAAATAGCATAACATTATTAAAGGCCTCCACAAAGAGGACTGTCTTAACCTGGGACCAAAAAGATAGCAAATTTGGCACCAGGCGGGCTGCAGCAGGCAGGTTGTTCTAAAGATGAGGGGCCATCACAGAAAAGGCCCTCCCTCTAGTGGCCACCCTCTGAACCTCTCAGGGTTGGCACTGGAGGAAGGCCACAGTAGCTGAGCATAGTGTCCAGGTAGGTTGGGGTTGGAAGAGGTGCTCCAACAGGTATCACTGTCCCATATTCCAACATAATTGTTCATTTTTTGTAGAACTCCATTTAAGAGATAAGCAAATCTGCTTAATCAATGAATTGAATTCAGTATATAACTACTATGCCGACCATCTTATTTGTCTCTTGAGAAACCTATATGCGGGTCAAGAAGCAACAGTGAGAACTGGACATGGAACCACTGATTGGTTCAAACTTGAGAAAGGAGTTCGGCAAGGCTGTATACTGTCGCCCTGCCTATTTAACTTATATGCAGAGCACATCATGAGAAAGGTGGGGCTAGATGAATCACCAGGTGGAATTAAGATTTCTGGGAGAAATATCAACCACCTCGGATATGCAGATGAAACCACTCTAATGGCAGAAAGTGAAGAGAAACTGAAGAGCGCGAAAGTTGGCTTGAAACTCAACATTAAGAAAACTAAGATCATGGCATCCGGTCCTCTCACTTCCTGGCAAATAGATGGGGAAGAAATGGAGGTAGGGACAGATTTTATTTTCCTGGGCTCCAAGATCACCGCAGATGGGGACTGCAGCCAAGAAATTAAAAGACACTTGCTCCTGGGGAGGAAAGCTATGGCAAATCTAGACAGCATACTAAAAAGCAGAGACATCACCCTGCCAACAAAAGTGTGTATAGTCAAGGCTATGGTTTTCCCAGTTGCAATGCATGGTTGTGAAAGCTGGACCATAAGGAAGGCTGAGTGCCAAAGGATTGAGGCCTTTGAATTGTGGTGCTGGAGGAGACTCCTGCGAGTCCCTTGGACTGCAAGGCGATCAACCAGTCAGTCCTAGAGGAGATCAACCCTGACTGCTCTTTAGAAGGCCAGATCCTGAAGATGAAACTCAAATACTTTGGCCACCTAATGAGAAGGAAGGACTCCCTGGAGAAGACCTAATGCTGGGCACAATAGATGACAAAAGAAGAAGGGGACGGCAGAGGATGAGGTGGCTGGATGGAGTTACTGAAGCAGTTGGTGTGAGCTTAAGTGGACTCCGGGGGAGGGTAGAGGACAGGAAGGCCTAGAGGAATGTTGTCCATGGGGTCACGATGGGTCGGACATGACTTCGCGACTAAAAACAACAAGTACTTAATTAGAACACAACAGCTGAGGTACACAAGTAAGCCTATTTTAATCAAAATAGAAGTCCTATAAAATGCCAACTTCTGAAAGACTTCTTCTGTAGTTTTGCTACCATTGAAAGGAACTACTGGCTACAACTCCCTATCAATCTTCCAATGTGTCTGCCTGCCCCTGGGGGACTTTTAAGAGAAACAATCAAGCATTTAATGCAGTATATGACATAATTAGGCCAAATATGATCAGCTCAACTGAACCTGACTACGTAAAATAAAAGGTGAATTTCTATAAATGTCTGAACTCAGAAGTGAATCAGATCTGGTTGGATGTGTTTTCACTTTAAATGTGATAAAGAGTTTCCAAGGGAATTCTAAGGCCACTGAGACATTCATTTATGGTAAAAATAAAAAAAAATATAGTGTTCATGTACAATCACAATTAAGACATCATTGTAAGTAACTAAAAGCAATGAAATATGACACTAAATCAAGGAGATAGCCGCAAACAACTAAAGAGGATTTCAACAAAGGAGTTACTTTCCCTGTTATTGAATACAAGATTTGGGAAAGCAAACCCCTGGAGTCAAGAACGAAGTAGTTTACTACAGGGTTTTTCTTCCTCACTGCATGTTTTGTTCAATGCAGTGGCTACATTTCCTGTAAGGAAATTTTATCCAGTCAATTCTTAAACAACACTGATCAAAATTTGCCTGTTCTGGATAAGGCGAGGAAATGGGATCACAGAAACACTGGCAGCCTGGAGACTGACTAAAGTCCTGACTGTCCTTGTTTGTCATCGCGGTCTACTCTTCCCTTTAAGTAAGATATATAAACAGAATAGGAAACTTTTTAACATGATGGTGGAACAACAGGTAGCCTCTTCAAGCAAAGTGGATTTATACCATTTCTTTGCACTTTCATTAATCACCACACACATCAGCAGTAGCATCTCTGTTTTTGTCATTTGAAAATGACATTTCTGTCATCTGAAAGTCTACAGTGTCTAGCCAATGTTATTCAATTTTACAAAAGATAAATGGCCTATGACTTTCAAGAATGTTCTCTTTATTTTTCTGTTGCTTAGGCCTAAGGTAACCAGCCTTATCTCCATTATGTGACACTTATAAGACATCATGATGATTTTGCCTGCAGAGCAGCACTTGGAGACCATGGCATTTCAACCAAAGTAATTACTAGGTAGATCTGCAGAGAAGTTGCTAGAATAAGAGTGCTCTAGTAATTAGTGTGATTAGTACTGGGGAAACCCACATTCAGATCCTCTGGGCCAATCAGTGTATCTCAACCTGATGGACTGCACAGGGCCGTCGTGAGTGGGGTAATATATACTACTTTGAGTGCCTTGGAAAAGGGTAAGGCATCAAAGTAACAAGAGTGTTCAGTTTTCCAAGTTATTCAAATATGTGTGCATTGTGCTCATTACTGTTTGCTTTTATGTTCATCCCTGTTAATATGTCAAAACAGATACCAATGTCTGGCTATGCAACGCTAGTGAAATGCTAGTTTCTACTTTGTTAACCCATCTCTGTTCATGGGCTGTATCAGATAAGGCAGAGTTTAGGTGCTTCCTTATGCAAGAATTACTTTTCTCTGTAAGCAGAATCTGATCCTTTGCAGTTGAGTCATAAAAATTCTTACTAAGAAATCAATTCACTTTAATGCAATGGCATGTCAAGTCCACACCATCCTTTAACCAAAATGGTACCAATCTGATTTGGAGTTAATCCTATAAACATTGCTTAGGGGTAATAATAATGTTCTAGAACAAGATTGGGACTACAGTTTGGTTGTAAGATCCATGGAAATGCTGTTGTTCTCGTCAGTCAGCTTTAGTATTTTATGTTAAATTGAAATGTCAGGAAACTGAAGTATGGAACATAAATGATGACTCTTGTACAATGAATGTCCTTCATTCCTTTTAACAGAAATAGTTCCTAGAGATCTGAGAATGAAAGACAAGTTTTTAAACCATTTAACAGGTAAGCATACCTTTAACACATTTGTATTTTTCTTTCAGTCATTGTTCTCTTTCTTAGGATACTAATTCAGCTCATTCGTTGCTTCTTTTCTTCCCCAGGTCATCTTTATTTTGGTCCAAAATGCACTAAACACTTTCATAGACTTTATCACCATACAAGAGACTGCACCATTCCTGCATGTAAGTGTTACCAGTCAAGACTAGAACCACATGGCAGCCACTGAGTATCACTGCAGTTGAAAGATTTGCCATCCTATGCACTTAACATTCAGTTCAGTAAAAAAGCTTGCAGAAGTACAGAAATCAAACAGACTATTGCTAGATGTAATGAGACTTGAATGTCATCATACTTCTGGCTCATAAAATAACTTTCATCCCACATTTGTTAATCCTAGAGTTGCATTCTGTGGGAAGATATTTTAAATTGCTATTTCTGCAATTCTTCTGCAAGATCTAATGGCTCTAATTTCATAAACTTTCCCTTAAAATGTACTTTCTGCAGGCAGCCAACTTCTACTCTAGTTATATGTCAGCTCCTTTGTCTGATGTTTGCACTGTAGTAACTTGGAACTTAATAGTTCATTAGATAATACTTGTTAATTTAAAATAATCTCTTTTGCTTTGGAACATTTGAATAAAAAGAAAACACTGTTGAGAAATGTCTTTTCCAACACTACAATTGGCAGGAATCACAGCTAATACCTAATTCAGACCTAGTAAGATTATGTATTTCTCCTCATTCTTCAGAATAAAGCCATACTCCAAATTCCTAACAATGTTGACAACTGTCACTATTATGTTGGATTTTCTTTACTCTGAGCACACCATTCTGAAAAGGAAGCCTACATTAATAGGGTGCAACAATTCTGTAATAAATAAGACATGATAAAAACATTTCTCGCAAAGTGAGAATGTTAACTCTTCTGTTGTAAGCCATCCCGAGATGTCAGTGGTGGATGGGTTAGAAAAGCTTTAAACAAATAAATAAACAGTAAGGGTGGGGGTTAGTTCCATCTCATGCTAAATTATCCTTGTTAGATTTATGCTTTGGTTTAGATAACAAGTTGAAAACTGTTATCAACTGTAAATGGCAAATGTAAACACATAGAAAAGACCACCAGGAAAAGAAATAGACTCTCTTGAAATGTTACACACATGCACAAATATTCTGGACACAAGTGTCTAGCCAAGCCCAAATAATTGCTTAAGAAATATTTTTTTCCAGAATGTCAGTGGATGCAAAATGGCACATTGCAGATTCTGCAGATTTCTGCAAGACAATAAATTTTTGACCTGTCAAATGTTTTTGTCTTACCCCATAGCACAGGTGGTGCTGATAATTAGTATCTTGCAATGTCAGATTCCTCTAGGTTGACATGAGAGCAAACTGAGTACTTAATAAAGTATAATTGAGCTAGTGCATTCTAGTGGTTTAAGAGTGTTGGACTGGGACTTGGGAAAGCTGGATTACAGCCCCCCCCCCCCCCCAATAAAGATTACTGGGTCACATTGGGCCAGACACTGGTTTTTGGCTTTATCTACCTCACAGGATTATTACCAGGATAAAATGAATAGAAAGGAAATCACGCATGCTATGTTGGGTTTCTTGATGGAAAGGTGGGATATAACACATTTTCTCTGCCCCCAGTAGCCTTAGTCTGATATGGCGGCCAGTTTAGTGACAGTTTACATAACACTTATTACCTGAATGAATTTTGCAGGTATGACTCTTTTAGCAGTAACACAGAGCAGGAAAACTGATATAAGAATTATAGAATTACAGAATAGTAGAGTTGGAAGTTGTCAGAAGGCCATCAGGTCCAACACCCTGCTATTGCAAGACACTAAGTTACACCATCTCATTTGGATGACTGTCCACATGCTTTCTGAATGTGTCCTGCAAGGAAGACCCCCCCCCCCACTTCCCCAGGTAATAGGTTCCTTTGACATACTGCTCTGACAGTCAGGAAGTTTTTCTTGGTGTCTAGTCTAAATCTGATTTATTTTAACTTAATCCATGTCCTGTGCTCTTCAATAAACGAGAAGAGTTCTTGTCCTTCTCTTTGTGACAGCTTTTGAGGTACTTGCAGAGTGCTATCATATCACCTCTCAGTCTTCTCTTCCTGAGGCTGAACATGCCCAGTTCTCTCAATCTTTGCTCACAGGGCTTTGCCTCCAGTCCCTGAATCATCCTTGTTGTTCCCCTCTGTACCCTTTCTAGCTTTTTTGTATTTTTTTCAACTTAGGTGCCTAGAACAGGACACAATACTCCAGGTGAGGTTTGACTAGTGCCGAGTATAGTGGAACTAGGCCTTCACATGTTTTGGAAGTAATCTTTCTGTTAATGCAGCCCAATAAGACAGTTAACAATCCAATTCTCTTTTCTTCTAGTTTTCAGTATGAGATTATTTCTCCTTTTTTGTTAGTTCATCAGTAAACTGACTACTAAATATTGAATAGGATTGCTAGGCTGCCTATTTATGCACTGCAACTTTCATAGGCATGGCAAGTTAACAAGCAATAGTTGACACTTTTTATGTACACAAAAGTTTTCTTAAGAATTGTCAGTAAATGAGTGCTGCATCAACTGTGTGTATTTACTCAGCAATAAGTCCAGATTCAAGGATGCTTTCTACAAAGCCAGTCTGCAGATTTACACATGCCGTCCTAAGACCCTTGGTATTGGACAGGATATAAATGTTTAAAGAAATAATAAATAAAATAAATAACTGAATAAGTCATTTCTGTAAAAAAAATCTAACCATCACATTTTCAGTTGGCATACATGTTCAAGTCTATAATTTTAAAATAAATAATTTCAAAATGAATTTTAATGGTTTGCAATCCTTTGTATATACTGCATTTTTGAAAAGTAAAAATCCCACCAATTTATGCTGCATTCTTCATTAACTTTTATTTATTACCTTTTCACCACAGACTATAAAAGATGTGCCAGGCTTCTTACTCGGTTGGCAGTAAGTCCAATGTGCACCGAAGGATAAGGTAAGCTTTCTGAAAGAACAAATTACACAATGCCTGTATACACATAGCAACATCTCCATTGTAGATATGATAAATTCATGAATGTTGGTACAATAGCTCTTTGGCTAAGGTATTTCCCTTTCAGAGAAAGTGACGCAACAACTTTCATTTGGCAAAATGCTGGTCATAAATAAAAGGATGTCCCCTACTGGAAAGCTACATAAAGACTCTCAGACATCAACTGGGAATTATTCATAGCTGTATGCAGTTAGCAGATAGTGCATTTGCTTTTTAACAATAAAGCACACCAGGCACAGCTGATTTTTTCAGGAGTTGAGTCAGCCTTCATCGCTCAGTATTGACACTGGATGTCTATTTGCAACTGTAGATGTATTATGTATATTTTAATAAAGCCTAATGTATACACATGAAAATAATGTTAATGGAGTTATAAAATACTCATAGCATGAACAAGCATTGTACAAATTCAGTAGTTTCACCTTCTGAACTTCGGATTTGTATTTTGATAGCCACAGTAAGCGGTATTGGGAATCATAGACTCCAAGCAAAAAAAAGATGACTCACGTTCTTTCCTCTTGGAACCAAAAAGATGTAGTACCCTTCCCTTCAGCTTTTGTGGGAAAACCTAAAGTAGCCACTCAATATTATAAAGCAAACAATAAAGAATTTACATTAAGGGTACGGTTCAACATTATACCTTCTCTTTCCAATGTTCAGGCTGCCATTGGTAATGAAGTCAAAACAGCATCACCCACTCTTATTAGGCACCTTGAGGTCAGCTTGGTGATTTGTAGAACAAATAATTGGGCAGGGGACTAAGTGGGAACCCCTGGAAAAGTTTAATGAGGCCAGAGTATGCGCAGTGCCCACAGATCTGTTAAAAGTGGGGGAGGAAATGAAAAAGTGAGAAGTGGGGCCGGAACCCTCATCAGGGAGCTCTCTGCATCGCAACAGTTTGTTACAGGTCCTATTTCTTTATGTGTTGTGTTTGTTTCATACTTTCTTAGATAAAACACTTTAAAAAATAACCTCCAGGTTACCTCCTGCATAGCAATAATCCCAAGTAGGGAAAACTAAATTTTAATTAGTATAAATGTAGCCTAGTCCTTAGGCCACCCAAGGTTTAGATTCAATCATTGTCAAAAGTTTGCCTCACTGCCCTAAACCCTGGCCCTGAAGCAAGGAAGGAACTAATCTGGACCTGTGTACATTAGATCCATTTTTGAAAATTAAAGTGAAATATTTTGCCATCCCAAGACAGCAAGAAACTAAGCTTTTTGTGTTTTCATTTTGTTTTGTTTCAGAGTATTCTACTATCAACTGAAAATATATAAAGAATCAAGCAAAGTGCCTTGGAAACCAACAGGGAGATTGAACCTAACATCTTTGTAACATATTCCATTGTGAACAAGAGATTTATTTTTGCAAGTTGATGGACTACTTCCCATAAATCTTTAAACATGTGTTTTGTATACTTCCATCACTGTTTACAGATGCACATTGTTTATGGTAAAAACCCCCTACCAAAACAACTTAAATGTTTCATACTTTAAAGCCTCCCAACATCAGACGTGTTCCATTGCCAAAAAATCCAAAGAGTTACCCAACATTTCAAGTACAAACATGTTTCATTCAGAGACGTCATGGGACAACGTCAAGGAAACTTTCCTGTGGGGAAGGTATCACTTGATATCTTTCTTGCTTATGCAATTCTAAGTGTTTAGTTACAGTTTTCTCATGAATCAGTTATGTTGTACTCATTGAGTGCAAACTGCATGCCATGTGCAAGAGATGAACATGCTTAAGTAAAACTTGGATTCTGTATCCACTCTAAAATGCCATCTGTTTTCTGTACAGTAGAGGTATAAACATTCCAGCTAAATGTGCAATATGTAAATACTGTAAATAACATAAGTAATAAAATGTTTGGTATATAAGTTATTATGAATATTTTTCACACTTCCTAGCTGTAGTTTTGAAGATATGAAATTATATACTAGCAGTTCAATGCAAAACAAAGCTAATGAAAAAGTCTTTTTTTAAAGTGATGTGACACCTTACACAAGGGGAGACAGCACACATGAAAACTACTTGGGGGTCTGTTTCAACAGCGTCCTTGGAATTAGTTTTCAGAATAACAACCCACTCCCTTTTCCACAAATCAGTCACAATGGTAACTATAGGTCTGCTTCACCCATTTGCACAAAATGGATACCACCACCTTCAAGCTAGATGAAAGAGATTTCAGTATTATGCTTAAAGCAAGAGTGTTTTGAATCTTGAGCACAAATGCTTCTGTTGCTTCTTCAAAATGGTAAGCCTAGATGGACCATCAGACTACAGATGAAGAATGCAAACTATTGCAAACCTCCTCCATTTCATTCATTAGCTGAGTATAGAAGCTGTTCTTTTGAGGCTAGTAAGAGGGATCTAAGAAACCTAAGGAAGGACCTAAGATTAAATCAGATACATAAAGAACCATCTGTTTCAACATTCAATTCTTGACAGTCCTCAAGCACTAACATACGCTATTGGGGTTCAGTGGTACACTCCTTGGAACCGAGAAGTAATAATGGCTAAAAGCTTTTGCTAAACTATGCTCCATGAGTTTGCCTAATCCTTTTTAAAAAGTTATCTAAATGAGTGGACATAACCATATTTCATGGTAATAAACTTCTTAAAGAATTATGCTGTCTTTGAAGTCACATTTTCTTTTAGGTTTCCTAAATCTAGTGTCAATCACTTTCAGTAGGTGGCCCCAAAGGTCTAGGAATTATAGGAGAAGAAAGAAAAAAACTCAAGTGTACTAATCTTGTGACCTTGAGGATGTCCAGCTAAGAGTCCCAGTGGGAGGATCTTCTGTGGTGGGCTTCTCTACTGTCCCCTTGTGTCCTTGGGAACTTGGAAAAGGGAGGTTTCTGTCTTTTGGACCTAGATAAGATAGAGTCAAGTATGATTCATACTGATTCATATAGGGTGGTCAGCTCCAGACCAACCATAAATCCCGAGAGATCCTTGGATCTCTCCAATTTCGTATAATTGTCCATATATTGTGTTTTGCACCCTGTCCTTTTAATCAGTTCCTTTTATTCCATGACTGCTAAGTCTACTCAGCAGCTTCAGGTGAAGAACTGTCAAGACCTTTCTGGAAATATTAACTCCTTCCTGTATGTCTGATGACAGTTAAGAATTTAAGAGGTTGGTAGACATAATTTCCTCACTGTTCATAAAGTAGCCTTTTATGATTCAAAATTTTGGCTTGCTCCTCTATGGAAGTGGGTATTTTGGCATGCTTCCACTATGGGACCAGGTAATGTCCACGTGACTAGTAATTTCAAATTCTGCTAACAATTTTGCTTACAATTTCCAGGGGTAGTCTCATCCTCAACTCCACCCCAAAAAATTGAATAGAATACCTCCCAATGCAGGCACAGCTGAGATGTTTTCCCTTTATATTTCTAAAACTATCAACCTATAAACATGCACAGATTGACAGCAATCACTGATCAATTAAGATTCTGCTCCGCCAACACCTTGTACCTGGTAGAAGGAACACATGTCAAATTCAGTTCCTAGAAGATGTATCATGAGCTGAAGCTTTTCTGAATGAAACATAATGGAGAGATCAATAGTAGTTATCTGTATTTGCCACAGAGACAGCTCATGTGCGGTTAAACATCTCAAGGAAGTTGACTTGGATCAGTCAGTACTATAAGAATTCATTTCAAAGAGTAGCTGTAACACAAATGCTGACAGTCAAATTGCATTAAGGTTAACAGTGATAAACACTAAGGAAAAATCATTTCACAAAAATTATTGGTTAAAACATGCTATTCAATTCAACTGTGTACATTTAATTCATGAAGGTAACAAGCTTGGCTCATGTATCTTTTTCTTATGAGTATACTGTAGCACATGTATTAGTAGTATATTGTTACCATGAGACACTATTAAAGAAAGCAATAATGACCAACCACAGCATTCATTCTAATATCCATAACACAAAAGATTTGAAATGAAAAAAAAAATATTTTCTAAAGTTTGACAGCAATCACAGAAAAAATTTCTGTGTATACTTCGATCAGGAATTTAGATGGTTATCTTCTTTCATGAACAGACTACTTATGAGATGTGGACACAAACTACCCACAACATGAATGAAAATATTTACAAGGTCAGACAAAGTTAAGTTGAATTATTTTATTTGGTCTGGAAAGTTCAATTCACAGGCCTGACAATTATAGCTGTAATTTTTTGGAAATAGTGAACATTTAAAATAAAGCTGTGCTTTAGCAGCTCTTGAGCATAACATCCTATTAAGAGAAATCACGGCTATTAAAATAGGTGGAAAAAACAATAGGGTAGGTTTGCACATCATGCTAAACCACCTTGTGAATAAGCCACGGTGGGTTGGTCATTCACTGAACAACCCACAGTACTCCTGCCAGATAACTGGGTTTACTATGGCTTGTTCTCCCCACAAATCAGCCAGCTTCAGCAGTATTCTTGCTACCTTCACCGCAGGAACATTTTGCCGCTCCTTGCCTTTTGCCCTTTTCATTTTCTGCTGTTTCTTTTTCACAGCCTCAAAAAAAAATCACACTTAAAAAAAATCTCAGTTCTGAAAATTATGTAACAGTGTTCATAATTTTTTAAAATTATTTTTACTGGTCTTTCAAGCGTACTCTTAGAGCTGTCTGGTATGTGTAACCTTGTCTGGTCTGTTTCCTTGTTTGTTTCAGCTGTCAAAGGGAAGTGGAGTAGGCAACAGTAAGGAAAGAACAAGACTGCATATAAGCTAATTTGTGCACAGTTATCAAGGTCAAGTAGCCAAGTTGCCAGTGGAAAAGCACCACTAAACTGGGGGAAGCAACAAAAGATGCACCAGAGGGTGGTTCTGGGGATAATTAGTGCCCTCTACTTTTTCACCATTCCCGAGTCTTGAACTACTCTGGAAAAGAGAGGGAGTTACTCCTCACTCCACCACCACACACTTTTGGCATCTTCATTCCCTGACCGTTCTTAAAACAAAACAAGCAAGGAAAAAAGATGCAAATTGGAGGTCTAGAAGTAAAGGGAAGGGAAATTTGTGCATGTGCAGTAACTGTCATTCATATGAGCATCCTTCAGTATTTGCTATGTGTTATTTTATGTCTGGCTATTTATTATTTGAGGACACATTAGAGTTCAAGAATATGCTTTTGTACATACATCTTATGTCCTTTATTGCTTTTATGTACAATCATAAGATCTCAGCACATTATGCCTTTTGTTGCCTGCTTCTGTGTAACAGAAGGTTTTTCTTGGCTCACTTTTGAAGAAGCAATCCAAGGATGGACAGGCATTCTCTGGAAAGGGAGAAGTGATGATAACCCATGATGTATCATTGTGCCCCGACAGCTTAAGCATCAGGTTGCATTCAAGAACTCAGGATGCAATCCAATGCCCTCTGCTACTGATGCAGGTAAGACTTATATATATCCAATGGAGAGAGAGAGAGGCACAGTGGCAGTCTCCACCACTGCAATGAGTTGTGCCATGCATCTCGTCCACATAGCCATTTTTTGCTATCTAGATTATGCATGGAAGGAAGCCGGGCTGTAAATGGGAAATGCAGTCAGCTATTATCCCCAGTTCCCCCCTTGGCTCCCTCTCCTAGGCCCAGGTACATATTTAGAAGGCAGCTGGCATGGCTCTTTCTGTGCCAGTAAAAGGGAGGCAGGGTTGGGGTTTGGCCTTCGAAATGCTAACTCTGAGGTTACAGGTCCTCATAGTTGGGGTTCCAAGTAATCCTATACCCTGTGACACTGGGAGGCCACAGGATTGCACCTTAATCTTATCAAAAGCTTGTATTAGCTAGTTCTTCAAAGACAGCCTGCCTCAGTGCAGCCTATGCTGTGGCATGGAATGGCAAGATTCCAGCAATATGTTCCCTGGACCTTTATACAGCATTAAGGATTGAGCTCAAAAGAGCAGATAAAAAAGAAACAGCCCTGATAGATCTATTTTAAAGGAAAAAGACTAGAGAACATTTGAAGTTCCCTACAGGTAATTCAATAAGAAGTTTGGAAGATTAGCAGTAACTGGCATACCTGTTTATCATTTATTTAAAAACACGTGATCAAGAAGTATTTGGCAGAGTGGGGAAGAAAAGCATAGTGGAAACATAATAGTTTCTGCATGATGGTTGAGAAATGCATCTTAGCAATAAGAAACAGGAGACTGCAAACACATATAAAGAAGGAGGGGTCAACATGGGTGTTAGCCATGGAAAGTTGACCCTGAAAATGCTAAGGAAAACATCTAATATGAAAATCCAGCCTCAAGTCCTTTTACAAAGTAGGGATGCGAACATGCTCATGAAAAGCAAGAGGGAGATCACAGCTGACTGGCCTTCTACTCCTTCTTTCAGCACCATTAGATATTTGTCTTTAAAAACGTCATACTAAATTCAAGGTCTACATTCTGTGCCACAGTAACTAAAATTTTGCAGCGTGTATATGCTATAAAAGATAGACACATTTATGTTACTTATTTTGTTTCTGTTAGCACTGGGTATGAGCAGGAAGTGACCAGAGCACTCAACCTATGCAGCTGATTCATGTATCTGATGCTTCACAGGGCAATTACTGTCTTCAAGCATCATCTTAGCAATCACTAGGGCTAAAAGCTAACTATGCAACAAATACTCAGGACTTCCTGAGTTTCTACAGAATTACAAAGTCCACATATCACATCTACTCGTTAGGGCTGAAAATCATTACATTACAAATGGCTATTTTTTCTGCTAGTTTACCTCCCTGTTTAATTTTTGTTTATTTAGAAGTACTAAAGGGAAGTAAAATCTACTAGTTCATCAGCTTACTGCACTTAATTGTCTGTGAAAACATAACATAACAACCTGTGTATTTATGCTATTTCAAGAAGTAAATGTAATTTTAAGCAAGATGTTTAGGGTTAAAGGTTCCATATTTAACAATAGCATCAGAAAATGGATGAGTGTATATTTAGTGCATGTACACAAGATTCCGTATACATATTATGTAAAATATGTATGCTACAAATCACACACATTTATTCTGTTAGCATTGGACAATTTTCCCCTTACATGGACATCTGATCAAGGTGAATACACCTTCTGAAGACCTGATGCATCTCAAGTAGGATATATACAATAGCTGCAATACACAATTAAAATTAATAATGTTCAAATGAGATCTATTTTAGGTAAGAAGTATCACAATTTAATGTCAATTAACATACTCGATTAATAATTTTACAGGATGGCTAAATATTACTTGTTTTCTCCAAGAACTCTTTACAGCATCTAAGGCACTGCTGATAAACAGTTTCAAAATCTTCATCACTACCCTAAAGAAAAAAGAAACACAAAAGAGAAAATACATCAGACAGATTTCTTTATTACGTTGATTCTGAACTGGAAAGAATTATATGGATTAAGGTACTTACGTAGTATGGATCTTCAATAATGAGCTGTTTCTGTGGATCATATGTCCCAAGCAGCTCAATCTGAGCTTTGCAGTTTTTAATTTGATTGCCTTTTCGTTTCAAATCTCTACAATGTAATTAAGAAATGTTTCACCATCACATATGGCATAGCTGGAAACAGTATGTTCTTACAATTTGAAATACATAAAACAAATAAATCTCATAGCAACCTGTACTGTCTGGAATAAGGCCACACATACAAGGCAAAACTTAACATTGTCTAATTCACCTTCACTGACCTGTTGCCATCCAGATGTGTTGGGACTTTTACTTATCCAGAAAGCACCAGCTAGGGCAGAGCTGGCCCAAAACATAACACAACAACATGTGACTGGAGCAAGGACAATAAGACTAAAGGGCTTTTTGCCAGTGACAACGATTCATAATTTTTCCCTCTCTAATTCGTTTTAATTTCTGATTTTTCACTGTCAAGCATCAGGTGCTGTTGAAATGTTGTTCATGGTTTGTTTATTTTTGAAATAATAAAGGTAACACTGTCACGTGTCCACTGTACTTTTATTTAGCTTCCAGTTCATTTGGGCTGCAAACCTATACATGTTATACATAAATCCTACAACTCCAAGCATTCCTCAGCCAGCCGAACTGACTGCTGAATGCCAGGAGTTGTAGGAACTCGCTGTCTACACACACAGAGGAATGCATCATTCAAATGCAGTGATTTTCACTGAACCACTTCAAGTCATAAACCTTGGCAGTGGCCCTGGCTGAAGGTCTATCACTGACCTAAGCAGCTAGGCTAAATTCCCATGTATTTATCTTTATCTATCTTAAAAGGTGTAGACTGATTTTAAGGTTAAAGCTCTTCTTAGAGTGCTTCCAATAATCAAGAAAACTATTTGATACTCTCAAGTTATCCTTATTCGATAAGAACCTGCAGCTTAACCCTAAGCATCCAAGACAGTACAAATAACATGTGTTCCTTAACAGAAATGCCTAGCAGCAGCTGACTAAAAGATCACATATGATCTGGTGGCTCCATCAAGCATGCTTTGACTTCCATCAAGAAGCTCCTACAAGTCACAGGGACCTCTGGGGGCATTGCAGGGAGAGGCACAGGGTGAGCAGAGTAACATTAGCTTCTTTAACCCAAATGCTTCTTGGATAACAAGGGAGCTCAATTCCTTCTTGGCAGCTCTCTAAGTAGGAGATGGGCAATTTCCTCCTGTGATAACTCTGGAATTTCTACAATGACTGTGCACTTCCAAGTTTGAGAGATGTTTGGAGATGGTAAAATTACAACATCCTTATTCTCCAAGAAGCCCAATAAAGTATCTTCTCTGTAGCCTCCAAATATCACTGCTAAGGGAAAATGGGAGATTGCAGGGAACTCTGCAAGACAAGGCCACTTTTAAGGTGGGAGTTGACACTGGAGCAGCAAGTCTTTTGTAGACTTCATAGTATCACCAGCATCAATGGGTCTACAACTAGAATGACAAAATTGTTGCTGTATCCTTATCCATACAATGTTCCTAGTGGGAATGGCTCAGAGCTTTGCAGTTACACTAAGCAGATGAAAACAGTATGTGAAGTTTTGAGCAGCAACTAATTCTCTCCATCACTCATCTCATGAGCGGAGGAAGAGTTAAAGAAATGGCTGAATAAAATAGATTGAATCTGGCATACCTCACCGAGTAAAAACCTAGCTAAGCAGTCCCCTCTACATGAATACATATACATACGTGTGTGTGTGTGTGTGTGTGTGTGTGTGTGTGTCTGGAATATAAAACAAATTGAGTAAAAATAATGATATTGTCAGGGCTTGTCTTCTCTCTCTCTTTCCAAGCACATCAGGGCAAAGGGTTTTCTGACTAAAGTCTTTGTTTTGTTAAAGCTGACCAGCTAGGGTGGCTTTGTGATACACAGTATTGTGGAACAGGCAAAGTTAGAATTTGTCCATTAGGGAAATGCAGTGAACTCTATACGTCCCCTTTCTTCCAAACCAAAAAGAGATGACTGCTCCTCCCAGTTACATGAAACACACATATGCTTTAAAATGATACTTTCATTTTATAAACAAATATCCAATGGACATATAGTTTTATGCAACTATGCCTCTGTACATAGTGCCACATGAGTAATTATGAACATTATGCAGAAACATTCAAGTGAAATGGCAAAATGTTGGCCCTTATACCTGGCAACACGGAGGGGAAGGAAATATATGTAATGGAGACTAGCACCTTTTCAGAACCCTGGCTTGTAACACACCTAGAACAGCCACATTCACAGAACAAGCCCATTCTGTTGTAGGGAAACCTGGTAATCATTTTTTCACTGAAGTAACACAGGCACACTGCCACTGTGTTTCAGAGTCCACGGAGACCCTTCTTTTGGAAGAAGCATGTTGTACAAAAACGTCTAATGGCTTTTGCTTCCACTTAATGATGAATGTCACTGCATGCAGTACATATAGTACACTTGAACTTTCAGGCTGCAATGACACGAAATTTAATATATCAGGAAAAAGCACTTTTTTTACAACTTACCGTAGGTTGCTTTCATCCATACAAAGCATATAATCAAATGTCAGGAAATCATCCTTTGTGACCTATAATTCAACAAACATGTGTAAGCATTCTCTTGCAGAAATCTGTATCGATAGGCAACATTTAATAAGAGTTGTTATAGTTGCATAGATACATACAGAATTAGACTGTAAAGCAATTAAATCTAAAGTGTTAATAGTCTTCCATGAAATATAACTGTTTTTGAAGTTTACAGAACTTTCAAAACTAATTTACTTTAATCAAATACGGACCTGACATAAGCAGAGGAAGAATGAACAAGCCCCATCTTCCAGATGCCTAAAGTAGCTTTCAGGTCCTTGATCTAAGCGGTTTGTGTCTTCAGAAGGCATGGTTTGTTCCTGTATGTCTGGTTCTATGCAACAGGGTGAGGGGAAAAAGTTCCAGGCCCCAAACAGCCTACTGGGACTAAACCAAGGGGCTGGATGATGGTGGAGCTGGCCTCCCTACCTCCAGGCCCCCAGTGAGCACCAAGCCAGCTTTATTCCTCACTGGTCCAATCAGTGAAGGCAAGGGAGGAGCAAATCCGACCTAGAGTAGGTTGCAGTAATCCATCTGGCCTGCAGAGGTTTCCCCCGTCTGCTCCTGAAAGGACTTTCCCTTTGCACCCTTTGTACACTGCTGCAAGGCAGAAGTCTTCCCCACTGATATCTCTGATCACTGACTCCCCAGTTGGGATGGCGTAAGAAAAAGCATCCAGCCTGGCTGAGCCCGGAAGGAGCAGCTCCTCCAAGTGGCAGACAAATGATTCGCCGCGCTGCTCATTATCCCACAATGGAAGGCCACAACCATGGAGGGGCCAGCACCCTGGCCTTACCTAACCTGCCAGGCACTGGATAAAAAAGACTCCCCACCCCTCTTCTGTCTGCACTGAAGGATTCAGCCATTTATTACTTGTCATTTCAAAGAGTGATGCCACCAGACTGGTGGGGGAGAATTACAGTATTAACATGCACCCATGGTTTCTGGAAAAGAATGCAACGCTCTTTCTACCTGCCGTGCTTTGTGGGCCGTCTGAATGTCATGATTTCTTAAGCAGCTTAAAGCCCTTGCATCTGGGGAGCGTCCCACATTCCAGTCAGAAACAGCTGCGCTGTCTATCATCCACTGCAAACAATAAGAACATACGCACACACACGTTGAAAGGAATACTGGCACAGTACCTGCCTGGCAATATGATTCATGGAAATGCCATGTTTCCTCATGCAGTTCTGGCCCCGATAATCTGGAGGATTTCCTATTTCATATGTAGATGTTGCTGCACTGTCTATCCTCCACTACAGAAAAACAAAGTAAAATATTTATATAATACTAACAGAAAGATGGTGTCAGTGACTAAAATAAAATTTACCTTGTTTTCAATGTTTTCCTCAGTTACAAGTTTTCTAAAAACAGCTTCGGCTATGGGAGATCGGCAAATATTCCCTGTAGAAATAAAGATTCAGTCCAGTGACTCTAAAATATAATCTTACACACAAGTGCTTTTAGTTGAAAAATTCTAGGTGGTCACTAATAGATAATGCGAAGAGGTGGGGACAAACCTCAACTTTCTTTGGCTTCTGCTTGAGCACAAGGGCTACTCAAGTTGTCTTTCCTTTCTTTAGCTCCTGGTTCACTCCCCACCTTGAGAAAGCCAAAGAGCTTCTTGGCTTCATCTTCAGTGCAGTCTTCCTACCATGCCAGCTTCCTGTGTTCCTTCTCTATCTACCCTCTAAAATTATTTATAGGCTGCCTCTTATGGCTTGCAAGCAGCAGTTTATTATATTTGAGGGATGCTGCCTGGAGGAGCCAACCATTCATTGTTCCACTTCTGACTGGCCTCCATCCATATTTGTTGTGATCTGAGTTTCTCCCTCCAGACAATATCAGCTGCACCAGCATTGCTTTGCTTAATGATCTTTCTTGTTGTACAAGAGTCTCTGAGCATAAACAAAGTGGAATGTTGAACCCTTTTCATCATTTGTTTCCTGAAGCTCTCTTTATGAGCCATTCTGTATCTCAACCCCGAGAGAGATTCGAGTGAAAACAGACAAGTCTCTGTTCTTCAGGCTGTGCGCCTAATTGGTCTTCCCTCTGATGATAATAGCGAGCAACCAGGTCTGCTTCTTCAGGGGGTGAGAGTTCTCCATTGGAGAGACTCCCCATTTCTTTTTTTCCTCCCTTTCATTATTTTCATAAAAAGTAGAATACAGAAAAAGAAAAAGGATACCAAGGGATCTTACACAAATATTACATATGATACCAAAATTTAAAAATTTCAAAAAAGTCAGTAACTGTTCTTTTCTACATTCAGTTCTAATTAATTAGCACTTAACTGAAACTAACAGAGCAATTATTCTAATTTATAATTCTTAATACTTATTTTCCATTCCTTTTAAATTGATTTCAAACAACAAAAAAGCATTGGTATTGAAGTTATAATTCACTGATATTTTTACAAGCTCTATTAAGTATATATAATAATTTATAAATGGATTATAAATTTATAATCCCATTTATAAATGGATAAATGGAAGGCACATTTATCATGAAATTCTTTGGCCGTTCTGTTTATGTAGCTACAATATGCCATAGTGCATATTCAGCTAGTCTATTTTTCCAATCTTCAGAAAGGTAGTCTTCTGCATTCTATTTTGATGCTATTATAACTCTAGCTGCCATTACAATAACTCCTTGGCAGAATTTCTGGTACAATACTCAGTAGCATATTCTTAGCATTCATAGGAAAATTAATTTTCATTTTTTTTATTTCTGTGTGTATTTATTTCAATTTTTAAAACTGTGATTATACATCCACCACATATTGTAAAAGGTCCCATCCACTTCAGTATGTTTCCAGCACTTTCTATTATAATTCTTATCCTTTTTCTCAATATTTTTGGTGTAATATACCAATAAAAAACATCTTGTACTTTCTCTTAGTGCTTGGGCTAGCTATAAATGTTATATCCTTAGTCCACAAAGTTTCCCATCGACAGAAAGCTATTTCCTCCTCAAAATTCTGCATCCTTCTTATCATACATATTTTAACTTGTTCAGTTTCAGTATCATATTGGAGCAATTGCTTACAAATATGTCCCAATAAGTGGTCTTTTTGCTGTGTTATCAAACGTTTCAAAATATGTCAGGTAGCTTATAGTGCCCTTTTCTGCTTGAATTTCCCTTTTCAATTCTGTAACCAATTGGTAGTAAAGAATCTATTCTATCTTTTTTCCTTCATCTTTTAGTTTTTGCCAAGGCTTGATTCCTCTTTGTTGATCAATCTTATATCCATATATTATAAAATCATTGCCTTTCCTAAAATACTTATCATAATATGGATCTATTGGAGACATCAGAGGTGAAATTGGAAGGGTAATTCTTCTTCCTCTAGATCACCAAGTTCCTATTAAACCATGTCTAAATGCATGGATATTCTTTTGTATTAAAGCTTTTTTGACTGGTTCCTTCTTCCAAATCTGTGTTTCCAATTTCACTAATATTTCAGTAGGAATTATAACCCATCTGTAATCCAAATCAAGCTGCATAATAATATAACATGATATTAGGTACTGAGACCTCCTCTCTTTTGTAGGACTTTAAATCTAATCTTTGTCTCCCCCCCCCACCCTCCATTCCAAATAAAGGTATTTAATTGCCTTTTCCATTCTTGAAGGATTTTTCACTGTGTGAACGTTGGTATCATTTGCAATAAGAAGAGACACTCCCTATTTCCATATCTCCTCCCTCAAGCTGTAATTCTCCAACATTCCCACAGCTGGGTTGACAGGTCACCCCCGCCTGCTCTTGGGCTAATCTCCCTCTGTTTTGAAACAGTCTCATATTCAAAATCGGAATCACCGGTAGAACCAGCACAGGGAGTCTCCCATGAGTGTGCCTGAAGTTTGCCGGGATGCAGGCACACAACAGTGTTTGGCCTTCTTTCTTTTTCCATTCCTCCTAACCTGAGTCCTGTCTCTGCAGGAGTTTTGGCAAGACAGCATTGCCCAGAACATCTAGAGTAGGGAGTATCAGAGATTTATTGTGCCATGGTCACTAGACCATATAATATAGAAACTGTGACGTATAAGTGCACAAAAAGTAATAATGGCTACCAAGACACAAAGAGGGGCAGGAATATCTCCAGGGAAAATGAAGAAGTAGTCCTCCTCTTTCCACAATGCTAATAAGATGATATATTCTAAGATGCCCATGAATCAGTATTCCAACTAATTGCTTTAAAAGGCATAAAGATGACACAGAGATTTATAACCTCAAGAGAACAAGCACTACAATGACTTCAGTTATCTCCCCTGCCCCCCATATAAACTCCCTAGCCTCCCCCAATGTGGTACCCTCCAAATGTTTTGGACTTTAACTCCCATCATCCCTAGCCAGTTAGAAGCTAAAACTGAATTAGGACACCAAGTTGGAGAAGGCTGCTAGAGGGAACCCATATAAGCAGTGCTATGCCAGATATGTGATGGTCCTTCGTAACAAAGGCATTTTTTGCCACTGTTAAATCAATGACCTTTTAAATCCCTACAATTGTTAAGTAACATTGTTCCCATGGCCTGCTTTCAGTTTGAAAACTAATTTAGTGCACAGTGAGTTTCTCAAGAACATTTTGACAGTTTATCAATTGTATACATCTGGCATTACAGGAAAGTAAGGCAGTAGAGCTGCCAAATATCATTCATGCCTGTGAAGGAATTCCACATGACATGCCTTGAAGGCTGTTTGGAAACAGAAGATAAGCTAGCACAATTTAGTTGTTCAACTTCTGACCAAAGTAGAAGGCCGGAAGCTAATATACATCAATATTCCAGAGACTTCACTGGTTTCCAGTAGCAATGCCAGGTGCTTGTTCTATTGACTTAAACATACACAGTTTGAAGCCTATATTCACAAAAGACAGTTTAGTCAGCACATCCAATTGTAAATTACCAATAAACCAAAGCCCAGCCATTTCTGGATTTTAACCCCGAGGAGTAACTAGTGTGGTGTCAGTGGCTTTGTTTTTGTTTTTTAATTCAGGCCACAATTCAATTGCTGTACTACAAGAAAAGCTACATTCTTCTAGCTCCATACTAGTAAAATAAACTGAGTGGGCCTCAATGAGGAAATATACTGCATTACTTGGGAGGAGAGGGAACAAGTACTGACTTATTCCTACCATGTTCCCTCTCCAGTCTTCTCTTCCCACCTCAGTATCCCAGACAACAATCTAAACTGCCTCACCATCTAGGAATTAACAGACATTTTTCTTCCTGTAATATGAACACATCTAGATATGTATTTCAAGCACAATCTAGTTAGGACAATTCTTCTGGATGTGAGTTTCCTCAACTATACAGCTATGAACTATGATCCTATTTAGAGATCTACCCCTTTCTACTGATGTGCATACATTTTTCAGAATGGTTAATTTCTCACACACAAAATCTCCATCCAAAACAAAGTAATTAGGACACAGAAGCATTAGTCAAAGGATTGTGGTTTCTACTAAATTTCTGTCATACTTTCATGTTCCTGGGTAATTTCAATGCTGATCGTGCATGGGATGTTCATGTTTCTTCCAATTTGTTCTCCCAGTAAAACTTCACAGGGACATTAGAGTACTAAATGGCATTAAGCTACAATATTATGCACATTGGAATATGTCCCACAACACAGTAAAAATTCTGAATAAACATGCAGAGCATGGCCTGCACATGCATAGGCAAATACTGCCATATGAACTAGGCTGCTTTGTTTCAGGCTGTATCCTGAAAATCCTTTCTTGAAAACAAGTTCCAGTGCAGCTTACCTACAGCCAGATGATATGTAGGATAGGGACAATAATATTTTGAAATGCTGGAACTCAAGTTATTTTAGAAAGGTTTCCTCAATATCTCCTTTTGTGGAGGTTCTGAACCACTACAATTCTTCCTATCAGAGAAGCCTTTTCATAACTTTCCATAAGGTTTGGAATCCTTCTGTTTCAGAAAATCCTAGAGTACCCTCTGAAGCATGCTAGGCTCACCTGACTTGAGGGTGCTGATTTTGTGATTATGCTGTATCAACCAAGATTGTTGCTTTGGGCAAACTCAATATTTTCTTGTAGTTGTAGACCAGTGATGATGATGAATAAGCTTCCTTTGGCATTACTGGTCCTCTCATAAAACACATGATAACCCGGAGGCACATGGTCCCTCAAAAGACTTTGTTACCAGTGCATAGCATTCCTCCATGCTCAAAGAGTGAAAGACATGAACTCCTAGTTCCTTAATGTTGTCACTCTTTTACCATTTCTTCTCCACGTTATGTAATCATTTGTTAACAGCACAAGAGAGTCACAGATATGTATTTCAATTATTAAGAAGCTTACAGTCTGCTAAGTAAAGAATATCTACTACTCATATTTCATGTTATGTAGAACAAAATCTTCTAATCCTGTTACAAATTGAAAACAGACTGCAGAATGATATTTGACCAGTGTTAAACCAACATAAAAGAAATGTAAAAGTAACAAGTGCCATGTAATAAATATGCCCCTAAATTTCACAGATGGAAAAACAGGGGCACTTTGACACCAACTCTACCATGTTACTGATGCCTGCTACACAAAATGTTCTAATAGCAAACATTAAGCTAAGCCATCTGATTTATTGTAATGAGCAGTGTGTTATGCAATTATTTCTGCTTGGCTTAAATAATTTTTAATTAAAATAACAAAAAACTCATTAGGACAGAAAAGTCTACCACTATACCTGAATAAGGATCCTGGTTTGGCACTTGCCTAACAGTCTGGGATCCATAAGTGAACTTCAAATTCTGGCTCATTAGAGAAAAGAAAAGGCAGGAAATGCACTCTGCTCATTACCAATAAGTGTTTTATGTGAATCGGGAATCAAAGAATTCAATTTACTCTTAAACAGCTTACCCGACACTGGCTTCAGAAGCAGGGAAAGTTAATAAACTGATAATTGCTTTAAAACATTGTATTTTATATCCATGTGCATGAGTTTACATACATGTGCAGCAGAATTATCCCCTTCTTTCAGAAACTGAAAGTATGTGTCCAGAATATGGTCTAAAGGTACACAAGGCATCCATTATGGTACAGCTAAACAAGTCTGGGAATGACCTGAGTTTGGAGAAGAGACAACTTGGGAACCACAAGTAGCCCATCCTGAGTTCCATGATGGGAGAAAGGTGGGATATAAGTATAAGAAATACATAAATTTTACTTTAAAGATTTGAAAGGGTCTGAAACCTGAAAATTCCCAATTTTCATACGTTTGCATATTAACTTAAAACAATACCAAATTATCCTCTCCTATTGCCTTTAAAAGCAATATAAGTAAAGGTGTTCAACAGATTAAGAAAAGATACTGCATATATTTAAAAAAAATGATACATGCAGAATTACTAAAGTGAACTCACATGGCACAATTCTGTACTTTTTCTATGGTTTGCATATTTTTGCCTAAACATACTGGTCAGATTGGGCTGGTCTAACATGCAGCCCGTGGGCCACATGCTGTCCCCAAGACCTTATTCTGTGGCTCTCCTGTCACTTGGAGCCCCCCTCCCTGTTCCTCTGCCAGTCCAGATCCCTACAATGGAAGAGGCATGACTGCAGCAAGCTCTCCTGAGGCTGCCAGCCTGGCCCTCTCTCCTCCTGAGGCTCAGGAAGAGAGCAGGTTGGCTTGGCAATCTTAAAAGAGCTCGTCCCAGCACACCCTGTGCCACTTGTCAGCAGGAGTGCATAGGGCATCCCGGGGAGAATTCATTAACTCAAGTACAAAAGGCTCAGTACACCAATTCCAAGGAGGAGGGAGAAGCTGGAGAGTCACATGGGAAGGTTTCTGGTTGGGAGAAACAGGGAAGTAAGGGATGGGCCATGGAGAGAAATGGTGATTGTGCCTGAGCTGTGGTCAGTGAAGAGCTGCTTGGGATCTCTACTAAGATCACAGGCCCACACAGCATTCATTTTCATTCAATTAGTCCTAAAATCACCTTAACATTATGCAACTGCCCTAATCCCTTAATCCCTGTAAGCAAGTGGGAACAGCCAACTCTGAGACCTCATATCGGTTTTCTCCTTTGCTTAATGGTGAAATATATTAACTGTGATATTAAATTAAATATATTGCAAACACTTTACAATATGGAAATATACTCATTGTGCAGTCCCTGAGTTCTGTGTCAAAGTCCTCATGTGGACCTCAAGGTACGAAAAGCTGGATTGCCCTAAGTCAGACAATCCTGTGGTTGTCCGGGCAGAACAGTTTCTGTGCTCCCTACTCCATCTGTTTTCCTGGCCTTACCATGCCTCCCAACAGGAGGCATGCATTAACTCCCCATCCCTTCTCTATTTTTGCCAATGGCCCATTGCAGTCCTGAGGTGGGTTCCCCACTTTCCACTCTGTCATATCTGCCATACTTCTCAACTGCTCTAGCCCCTACAAGAAATTATGAGAGATGTGGGCAACTTGCTTTGGCCTACCTCTGTTATGGGTAGGCATTCACTCACATACAATGAGAAGGGGCAATTTCCACCAATTCTCCCTCCATTTGCAGTTCCCACATTGTCCTGAAACATCTGAATGCAGGAGAAATATTACACTGGCTGCAACAAAATTTTTAAAAAATCAGAAAAGCAAAACACTATATGAAACTCCATTTGCTCTTCTCCAGATCCAAGTCACCGATTACATTTGATCACCATCTGCTTCAATACACAGTTTCCTACTATAACTTAGCTAGTCCAACCAAAAGCAAGTAGGAAGTAAACTGTATGAATGGCCTGTAAGAACCTGAGCCCTGAAACATCAGTACCCTGACTGGAAAGGGAGGGAGGCAGCTTAATGAATTAAAATTTCAATTGCAAAGTACAGTTATTAATTAGGAAGGGGCTACTACTGGGCATTTTACCTCACTGACTTACCAGGGGAAAAGAAGTTTCTCAAAGGCAGTCTTCGCATTCAGAAGGGGGGGGAGCAGTCCCTCTCTCATTTTCTGTTCCCTTCCCTTACAGCATCATGTGCAGGTGTCAGGATAACAGTCTCCCTCTTCCCCGCCACCTTCCCTGCCTATCGATCTATACCTCCTTTTCGAGGGAGCAGGAAGAGGCTGAACTAAGTTGCCCTAATAAATTCACTTCGACTGAATTACCGGAAAAGCTCCTGCTGCTGCCACAGAGGAATGAGTAGGATGTAATCCTTGGGAAACTGCAAGGCACATTACAACTAGGAGCAATCGGGTTGGGAGAACGAGAAGGGAATTAAGCGCTCTGGCAATCGGGGCTGGGCGGTAAGAGAAGGTTACTATGGGACGAGTAACGGTCTCTAAAGGGGGACGGGGAGGATGAGTGAGCCTCCCCCGCCCGTCCTTCCTCTCCTCTTCCCTCGGCACGCATCCTCGGCCCCGCTCCCTCTATGAAGGCAGCGGGAACAGCCACCAGGCGCCCTGCTGAACCAGCCCGCCCCGCTTCCTCCCGCAGCCTCCACTCACCCAGGCACACGAACAGGACGGACTTGACTTCCCCCGCCGCCATGCTTGCTCAGGCGCCCGCGATCAAAGGTGCAAGCGCCCGCTTACGCGAGAGGAAGCGGAACAGTGCTCAACCGTCGTAAAACCGTCTTTGCCGCTTTACGGCACCCAAAAAGACCCTTAAAAGTCTGTCTCTGTGTATTGCCTGTATATATCGAGTCTACTGCCTGTGTTGCTAAATAATAAATGAAATTGATCCATTGAAAAGGAAAAAAAGTTTTTTTTCCAGAAGCTTTTCTTCTCATTCGCTTTTCGTCGCATGCACTCTCCTTTCAATTGGTCAGAATCGGAATCAGGCACTTGCTCAGCCACCTATGCCCCCTTGCAAATACACCTGCTCCAGGTGAGCCGCAGCCTTCTTGAGGCGGGGCCTGTGCAGCGCGATGAGGCAGTTGTTGTTTCTCTCGAGTAGCTGGACGCGGAGTTTTCGCGGGTGGAGAGGCTTTTCCAGGGTTGGCTTTAGTGGGTGTGAGTGAATGCGCCCCCTGGAAGAAGTAAGTATAGGGGTGGCATTAATCGAAGGAGAAAGAATGTGGAATGATAAACATTTTGAGTTCTGAGAAAGTATATGATGGGGGAGGGTATATAATGGGGAACCCCCACTCCCATTTCATTACATAATTCTTTCACAACTAGTTCTGGATTAAATTTATGGGATTTGTATATTATATGTTCCATGAGAATGAGAGCCTAGTAAATCTCAAAATCCCATGGTTGGACCCACTGATTAGACAGCGAGGCTGGCTAAGAACGAGCGATTTTAGAATCGGAGGCTTACAATCAGACTCTGGAAATGCTGTTTATTTTAATGTTACTGGTTTAGTTGATCAGCCTATTGACAGATGTGTGGAACAGGAGATCCAAACCATTCAAGTAATACTTCATGAAATTGATTACTTTTCATTATAAAATGATCTTAGGCAGGATACATTGAGAAGAAAAAAGCTACCCCCATAATGAAATTGGGTGTGCTTAAGCCTCACAGGTTTTTTGTGTTGCTTTATTTATATTCATATGTTGTTATAGAACTAAGAATAGGTTTAAATATGCTTCACTTTTGACAAGATTTTCTATTTGAGAAATAAATGACCTCATATAGGCAGCCACATCTAATTAAAAGTATGCTTCATGGTCCATAATAATGACAGCTAGCTTTTATAGCATGCATTTCAGTTTAGGGTCACAAAAATAATCTTTACAACAGACTGTTATCTATGTTAGTATTATTACCTGCATTTTGGTGGTAGGAGACTGGGGATGCAAGCTAAGAGCTTGTCAAAGACTCTTTGGTTAAAGGTTCAGGTGGAATTTGAATTGAGAGCTTCCTTGCTAACCACCATAAGCTGCTATAGGTGCTATGTTCTTAAAGTACAATAGAATTTGCTATGTAAACTGGTATGTGTCCATGTAAGCCATAATACAAGTAAGAAATAGGTTTGAAAATTGCCCTACCAAACTAAACATTATGTGGCACTTAAGAGAGCGAAAGGCAGTAAGATATGGCATGGATTTTGTCGATGATTTCTACAGCACCGGTACAGGCTAAAATGCCTATAATCCGTATTCAGATAAACTTGTTTTCCTGATCATGTTTTGTTTTGAGGCCCTTTCCCCTCCCACTTCTTTCCTTCTGTCTGCTGACAGCAGAGGAATGGAGAAACAGTGGAGCTTTTTTAAAATTGCACAATGTTAATAACATGCTATTAAGTGTAGGATGCAGTGATTCAGTCAGTAGTTTGCACATGTGTTGATGCTTGTCCTTTGAATTCTGTGGCATTTGGCTTTATTGTTTTGAGTTGATCAACATTTCTAAGAAATGACCCCCACAACCCTCCCTCTCTTGATATATAAACTAAGAAGAAGTGTTGATGATCTGGGCATGGTGTTCTTTCTTGTATTGCACTGGATCCCTATTCGCATAAAGCTGAGGCATTAAACCTCAAGCCTGTGAGCCACATCCATTCTAACTGGGGTTCTAATCCTGACCTCTGGGTTTCCCAAGTGGTCCCATTTCCTTCTCCCGGCCCCATCTTGCTGCAGGTTGTTTGATGGTTTCCAACTTTTGCACAAGTTTTTTGTTTTCTGTTTTTTTGGTATTCTAAGAATGGTGATATTATGCTAATGGAAAGCATTTCTTCTCACCCAAGGTGGGAGACTCCTTTCCCTCACCTATTTATTTATTTATTTAGAGTATTTGTATGCCGTCCTCAGGACGGCTTACATAAATAAGAAAAATAAAATAAAACATAATACAAATTAAATCCAGATCCACCCTGGCTGCAGATTAAAACCTATATAGATGGCAAAAGAAGAAGGGGACGGCAGAGGATGAAGTAGCTAGATGGAGTCACTGAAGCAGTTGGTATGAGCTTAAGTGGACTCTGGGGGACACTGATGATACCCAGCTTTACCTCTCGTTCTCCACTAACCCAGGTGAGGCAGTGGCTGTGCTGAACCGGTGCTTGGCTGAGGTAAGGGAATGGATGAGGGCCAATAAACTGAAACTCAACCCAGACAAGACGGAGGTCCTGTTGGTTGGCGGATCGGGTTTCGGAGAGGGTGGATTTGACCTGGTCCTGAATGGTGCAACACTCCCTCTTAGGGATAAGGTCCGCAGCTTAGGAGTACTCCTCGACCCGGAGCTTTCTTTGGAAGCTCAGGTGACAGCGGTAGCGAGGAACGCCTTCCTTCAGCTTTGGCTGATTAATCAGCTGCGCCCCTACCTGGAGTACGACTGCCTGGCGACGGTGACACACGTGCTGGTGACTTCCCGCCTAGACTTCTGTAACGCGCTTTACGTGGGGCTTCCCCTGAAGACAGTCCGAACACTTCAATTGGTGCAAAATAGAGCTGCCAGGTTGCTGACGGGGATGGGGCGCTATGCTCACATGACTCCAGTCCTCCGTCAGCTTCACTGGCTTCCCACTGAAGCCCGGGCCCAATTCAAGGTGTTGATTATGGCCTATAAAGCCCTAAACGGCTTGGGTCCTGGCTACCTGAACGAGCGCTTACGTCCATATATGCCCGACCGCCCTTTGAGATCTGCGGGAGAGTCCCTTCTCCGGGAACCCTCCATGAAAGAAATTAGGAGAGTAAGTACCCGGAGGAGGGCTTTCTCTGCGGTGGCGCCCAACCTATGGAATTCACTCCCCAAAGAGGTCCGCCTGGCACCGTCGTTACTGGTTTTTCGGCGCCAGGTAAAGACCTTTTTATTTAAACATCATTTCAATTGTTAAAACATATGATCTGGCCAGGGCAACTTCTTCTTCCTTCTCTTTCTCCCCCTATATTTTTATTTTATACTAATAATTTTAATTTTATATTTGTAAATCAATGTATTTTTTGTATTTTTATATTTAATGGTAATTTATTATGTACTATTGTATTTCAATGTATTTTATCATGTTGTAAGCCGCCCCGAGGTTTCGGCAAGGGGCGGCATAGAAATGTTATAATAATAATAATGGTGGAGGACAGGAATGTGGTCCATGGGGTCGTGATGGGTGGGACACGACTTCACGACTAACAACAACAAGCAGATGTTAAAAGTTATTAAAATATTGCTGAAATAAAAAGGTCTTAGCCTGGCACCAAAAAACAAATAACGACAGCACCAGGCGGACCTCTCTGGGGAGCGCATTCCATAGATGGGTCACCACCGCAGAGAAAGCCCTCCTCTGAGTACTTTGCCTCCTAATGTCTTTCACGGAGGGTTCCCGGAGGAGAGCCTCTAATGCTGATCTCGGGGAGGGAGGGCAAATATGGGAGGGCAAATAGCTACTGCATCGCTCTTGGGAATTTGGAAAGTTTATGGGGCTGCAGAGAATAGTTGGGGGAGTAACAGTGACATTGGAGTAGAAATGCTTTCCGCTAGGACAAAGCCATTGGATACAGCTCGATATATTTAGCAAATGTTCACTTTCATCTAACATTCAGATAGCTCACCTGGCTATTTGCAGTAGATTTACAGCTTATCTTTGGCTAAGTTCCAAAGAGAGCGAAAGTATGAACTGTGAATGATTTGCTATGTTCATTTTTAATGTCTGGGTTCCCCCTTTCCAGTTGATGTCCAGCTCTTTTTTTTTTTACTAAATTGTAGAAAACATAATTAACCGAATTTGGTGAAATGGAATGGTTGTTTTCGTTTTCTTTTTCTTTTTCTTTTTCTTTTTCTTTTTCTTTTCTTTTCTTTTCTTTTCTTTTCTTTTTTTCCTTTCCTTTCTTTCTTTCTTTCTTTCTTTCTTTCTTTCTTTCTTTCTTTCTTTCTTTTGCCATTAGATAGCAAGCTGCAAACAAGACTGTCCTTCTAAGACCCAATCCCAAAGTGTATTTTGTATCAAGTTAGTCTAAGTAGTAAAGGAGAGACTGGAGTGGTGGTGTGGTGGCAGTGCTTGGGCCACAGATGAAAGCACCAGCGGAAGAACCTTGATGTGTTCTGCCCTCTGGTACAGAAGGGGGTTGAACTCTTGACGGACTGCTGTGTGGTGCGGGCAGCTGGGGATGCCTGGTTTGTATCTCCTATGCTTCTGTCCTGAAAGAAGAGCCATGGGTAGTCATGTCAGTGCTGCAGCAGCAGCCACCAGAGAATGGTATTCTTTGCTATTACATCTTGGCCAGACTCTTGTGTCATTCATTTCTGTGCTGGATAATCCAGGTGAAACATTGTTCCACTGACAGCATAGTGCTCTTTCACATCAGTATTACTGGGTGAGAGGAGAAGCAGCCACGGTCTCTTCAGCATCAATGAAGAAAGGATTCTTGGGTAGCCTCTTCTCACGATCATGTTTTAGTTTTTGTTTGTGGAAACCATTTCACTTGTGCTGTTGTGAAACTGGATTGTTCTTGGGTTCAGAAGAGTTTTCAGTACTTCTTGGCTGTGCATTATTGGGCACGCTTTCTGTTGCAGGAGGAGATGACTTCCACCGAGCTGGCTGCATTATGTATCTGCCTTAGTTCTGCATGCCTCTGATTAGTTAACTGCTTTTGTTTCTGGATACTTTTCAGTCTTCTGCTTTGTTTTAGACAAGGTCAAGTAAAAAGATCTAAATGCTCTTAAAGAAATGTGATCACAAACCTGGCCCTATGTTTAGACAGAAAAACCCCCAAAAGCTCTCCTTGTGTCCCATCCAGCCATGCTGGCTGGAACTGCCTAGCAGCTGTAGGACTCTTTTTCTGGCCAAACCTACGTAGGATTACACACGAAGATGATGCAAAAACACTTTGTTGTTCTTTTATTACAGAATCAGAATTGCTTTGCTTAGACAGGTGACTATTTAATTAATTTAAATTATTTTAGGACATTTTCAAGAACATTTGAATTAACCAGCCTTGTACTTATAAGATATGTTCATCTACTCTTGGTAACAGTTCCTTTTTAATGTGTTTACCTGCAAGCCCAAACTACATGATTTTCAAGCAACGTTGTTGTTCTTGGTTTTTGCTCAGTTTTTGTTCCAAATATTCTATTTCTGTCTATATGCACCCTCTTAATTAATTAAGATGTGCATCCATATGTCTATTCTTATTTCCCTCCTACAAAATGTATCCTCCACAGCTGTTGTCATATTATTTTACTTTTTAATATATTTTAGCTTTTGTTCATTTAGATTATCCTTCTTAGAAGGATGGCAGGGAGTTTATTCTGTAGGTTTTTAGGGGCTCATTTCAAGCTCTTCAAAATATCAAAGTAATTTGATGTGGGTTTATAAAATCCTCCTGATAATATTTGGTCTTCTAATTAGATTGTCTCAGATTTCCCTGAGATACATTCAAATGTTGTTTGCTGTTGAAACTATGTATACTGGCAGAAACTTAGTGGATTTTGACTGCAGGACAAAAACCTAGGTTCTCATTAGAACAGACCAAGTCTCAACTCAACCTTCATGGTTATTGGTCAGGCAGGATGGGAGTTGTAATCAAAGACATTTGGATGACACAAAGATGGTAAAGACTGGAATAGCAGGATTGGACAGAGGGTGGACCTCCAGATGTTTTGCACCTTGGTTCCCAGAAGCCTCTACCAGCATGGTCAGGAATGCTAGGAGCCATTAGATGTGTAGCTAAGTCCACATCTGCAGAGCTTCCTGCCTGGGCTAAGGACCAGTGTTTCAAGAGTAAAAACACTGGTCAGTACATAATGTATTAACCAGTACATCAAACTGGTTGGAAATTTACCTTTTTCAACCTTGTATGTAAAAACACTGGTCAGTACATAATGCATTAACCAGTACATCAAACTGGTTGGAAATTTAGCTTTTTTTACCTTGTATGTAGTGATTTAAAGTGGTATCACCATTGTGCTATAATAGAGTTGTTCTGAAATCTCAAAGGTGTCCAGAAGTGAACTTTATTGGCTCAGTGCATTTTATATCATGACTCTACCTCCTTAGTCTTGCCTTCTGTTAACTTACTGGGTGGATCTCTGTTATTCTAAGACTTTACAGTGTTTGATTATGGGTGTATTGTATGCTTATATAATATTGACAATGTTTGGAGATTCTTATCTAGAGCTAAGTAAAATGAGTTTAAAATTCTCAATTATTTAGCATACTGTGGTAGCAATCCTGTATTCATTTACCTGGATTAAGCCCTTTTGAACTCAGTGGGGTTTATTTACGAGCAGACATGTTCAGGTTTGTGCTATAATGTGTGTTGTTAGAAGGATCAGTAGTTTCACAAAAGTTGCAATTCTGTTTGTTTTTCAATCCAGTTCAGAGTGGCTCTATTGATCTATAAAATTGTTTAGGACTTGGGGCCACAGTATCTGAAGAACATTTTTCTATACATATAGTGTTGGTCTTGATGTCATTTTCAGAGGACCTGCTCCAAGTGCCCTCACATCAGGAGCAGTCTCTAATTATGTCACTGAATAATTACATATTCTTTTGTTCTGTAACCCTACTTTTTCCCTCTGTCTCTTTCTGCATGTCAGATGTTAATCTGTATGTCCTTTTGTATTCTGTGAAGCATCATGTGCATTGATGGTACTATATAAATAAGCAATTAAAAGTTTCTACAACTATGTTTCAAAGTACATGATCATCAGGAAAAGCAAGACTTCCTGACCACTGTATTGTAATATTTAGCTTTGCTCAGATACTTTCATTCTACAATAATACTAATAAAGCACTGCCTTGTTTTCACTTTTATGGTTTGCAACCTGACTGTATGCACTTTAAGTACTGTGAGATCCCTTAATAATACTTGAGTTCAACACACATGGAATGTGGACTATAAATTTTTATTCATAGTTGAGCTACTAAGAATAGATTTTATGGTACATAGTCACCCCAGTTCAAATTTTATTCTTTAAGTTGTGATGGTCTATCTATGAATCACATGTATTTATTTGTTCATTTATTATTACATTGATATACCTCCCCATAGCTCATAGGGTTCTCTGGTTGGTGTATAGTATATTAACAGGATCAAAATATTGTGATTTTTTTTTAAAAAAAGACTTCAATCAGGCCATCAAAGAATACAATGATACCTCATTATTTCAGCCTAGCTCAGAATGCTATGAGTAATAAACCTCTCCTTTTAGCACATTTCCAACCAACTATTGGATTACTGATTATGGATGCTTCATTTAAATATCTGCCCATGTATTGCTGAGATATCCTTTGTTGACTTACACATGGTTCAGTATTGAGTAACTGTGGGATAGGTCTTTCAGAGCCATAAGCTAGTAAAGTCCCCTGCTGAAACTTAACTGTATTTCTATTTCCTGGTACATTTCCTGTTTTTCTCACTCATTCTCACTTGGTGAAATAGAATTGGAACAGTCTTTATTTAGTTAGATACACACTTGAGAGCTACTGGTGATGTCACATTTGCCCATGAACTAAAAAAAATGATCAAAATAGTAAATTACACTGTCTTATATTGGTATGATCCTCCAGAGTTTGGCCATTAGAATGGTATTGAAAGAAGCAATACTTGTGTGGTATGGTGTTACTAGGTAAGGCGCTTATGCTAGATTTTTGGGATTGTATGAGCATAAACTGGTTCAAACAAATGCTACAATTTCTTAGACAGTGGTAGATGCCTTTTATTCATTTCCTTATAAACAAGATTTTTATGCTATCACATTATATTGCTCTTTATTTATTGCTCTATTTTCCCCCCAGTGAATAACCCTATACCTTCCAATCTGAAGTCAGAAGCAAAAAAAGCAGCTAAGATTTTAAGAGAATTTACAGAAATAACTTCCAGAAATGGTCCTGACAAGCTCATACCTGGTTAGTATGGAGATTGATTTTTCTGTGACTGGAATCTTAGTTTCTGAGCTTAGTACTTTCTTGAGGTTCCCTCTGTTTAAACTTGGCCTTGACTTTTGTCTTTATGTCCTTGAATCTTCCTTGTGAATCTATCTGAGAGAAGATGATTTAAAAATGTGGACTCTGTATTTGTAAGGTGAAATGAATCACATGCTCAAGAAACAACTTATTATATTTTGAAATCTAAGTTTTCTATAAACTATTTCCATAAATGTTACACTCAGATACCAGTGAGCCAAGAGTGGCATCACATCTTTGGTCACCATATACTTCTTTTCACTGGAATTATAAGGGGCTGTTAAGTGGTCATATTAAGGAATACCCAGTTATTTGCTATTAGTAATAAGGAAGGGTCCATTTCAGAGTTAATGATACCACTGGCAAGTGAAACTAAGCTCAGGCCTCCAAGGTCTGAGAACAAGATCCAGACAGAATAGTATCATTTTCTTTCGCAGTACCAACTAATGCCTGCAAAGCAATGGGCTTCAGTTTTTGATTTTCACAGAGCATAATTCAGCACTTACTATTTGGATATTTCTCTTTTTTCCTGTAATAGTCAACTGCCTACATTTCTTTCTACTTTTGAAAAAGGGTTTCCTATAAAGAAAAAGACAGACATTCTGGGGAATTGCTATCAGTCACTTTTCTGGTTCAGATTAGGGTTTAAAGATACTGACTTCTAGCCTGTTCATTAAAGGTCTCTGTCAGGACTTGACAGCATTGCCAAGCAAGAGGTGAGATACCAAGAGTTTTGTTTGCGTTTGGTTTCTTTTTTAAATTGCATGTATTTTTTACCTCTGTGTTAACCCATAAAAATACCACCTGGGGGTTCAAATACTTTAACCTGGTGGTATACTGAATGCTCAGCAATAACTAGGTGCTCAGAGAATATTTCTAATCATCTTTAATGATAAAGATGGAAAGCTTCTACACTGAGAGTGTAACGATCTCAGATCTATTCTTTGGGTGCACCTCCTACTAAACACTCTCCAGAAGGAATGCCACTGAAATAGAAATCATCCATGGGATTCAGCGGTAACCTCTGATGAAGACCAATGTAGAAGATTTCAGTCTTTTGCTTGCAAGGCTTTGTGCACCATGAGAGGTTTGATTTCCTTATTCTCTCCATGTTGCAGGAAGCACGAGCAGGGTGGCTCCATAGCTGAAGCTACAGTATGTCTTAAATACATTTGCTGTCTTGGCTAAACCCAGGCTGGCATACATGGGCCATGTCAGGTGCTTTGACAGTTCAAGTGTTTTCTTACGTTTTTCAAAGTGCAGTTTGGGCAACATGCTATTAGCTTGCATGTCCCCTTACACAATCCTTTCCTTTCCCCTTCAGGCTCCTTCTTTCATTCCTCTTCTGGTTTGTCATATGAGCCAAGGCAGAATATGATTAGCAGTAATCTTTGCACCTTGTATTGAACTCACTCGGGAATAACTAGTTGCTTCCTTTAGACCTGTTTAAGAAGGTTTTGGGCTTGTGCTTCTTGACTATATTGTATGGCAAAGCACCATGCAATATGGATAAATTTGGAGAATGTCAAAATAACATGTTAATATGGCACAAAGGCATGCAACTTGAAGGAGACTATTTAACAATAAAAAAGTAATTCATTGCCAGCTATATTTTTGTTGTTGCTAATCTGATTATATAATTTGTCTTTGATAATAGCTCAAGTGTTAAGTTCTTCGCCCACCCCAAAATATTGGTGGTTACTCTTTCATTTTCATAATCTTAATGGTCTCATTTTTTAATTGCAGCCCATGTGATCGCCAAAGCAAAAGGCCTTGCAATTTTGTCTGTTATCAAGGCTGGATTTTTGGTAACAGCTCGAGGAGGCAGTGGGATTGTAGTAGCTCGCCTGCCTAATGGAAGTAAGTTTTTCCTTTCTCACCTAAAGCAGCCAAACTGTCTTGGCAGTTCTTCTGCTCCTCTTGCCAAGCAAAGGCTTTCTAACTAAGAAGTTTTATTATGTTAAAGGTGACCAGATAGGCTGGCTTTTTACTACAAAGATAGAGTACTCAGAAGTCACTAAGCCAAAATTATATATTGACCATTAGGGAAAGGCAGCTTAATGGTAAGTTGGTTCCAAACAGAATATTTTTCCTGCTTTCCAAACAGAAATGAACAAATGACTCCTTCAGGGCAGAGCCTCCTGCTTAAGGGCCAGTCACTTGGAACTACTGACACATTTCAGCAGTTCTACCAACTTGACCTGATGCCCTTGGATTAATATCCGCCCCCCCTACATCAGCATGCTTACTAAACTTTCCCACAGTATTTTAAACTGTCTGATTTTTTGCAACTTCCTGGCTTATCTCAGTCCACTGGTCTTGCAATTTCAGCTGTAGATTCTTATCTGAGACAGAATCTGTATCTATAAAATTTAAAGTTTTTTTTAATAGAAAGAGTAGGCCTAGACACAAACACTTAGCATAAGCTTCTGTGTCCTGCTTACCTCTTGGGAACATTCGCACAAGCAATCTCCTTATTTTGGATATAAAAATAAGTTATGTTCAAGCTAAGATGCCACACAGTGAGCAGTTTCATGCAACACCTTAAGCCCGTAAGCCAACAAATAATCCGGCAAAGCAGAGGTCCGAGGGCCCTCCCACTCTTCCCCCATCAGTCCTTCTGCCAGTATCCCAGAGGACCCTGTGGCGTAGCATTGAGAAGAGCCAAGCAGGGATGGCAGCTGCTGCCAAGTGCCCATGTGAGCCTCTGAGCCTCTGTTATCAACTCCCCACTTTACTGGCATCAGCAGGAATGCCAGTCAAGGAAGACAGAGTGGGGTAGGACCAGGCCGCACCGTGTTTGGTCCTTGAGAGGAAACCAAGCACAGTACTGTCCTTGCTTGGTGTACCTGCTGTTTAGCTGAGTTGCAGCAACGTTGAGCAAAGGCTATGAGCCTGGGAGAACACAAGTCTTCTCACACTAGACCTAGAGAGTTCTGTGTCTCCTCTTCCCCTCACACCTGATATGCAGAGTTTGCATTCTTTTGGACCTACTTTTGAGAAGATCCAGGAGGAAACACCACCTCTCCCCACTGTCTGCCTGCAGTCACCCTGTAGTCACACTGGCAAGTACAGAGTGGCTCTGAAGCCATGGTGGCTTTGCATATCATACAATCCCAGTCAATATTTTCAGCTTAAACAGGGCTTCCATGTTGAATGAGTAAAATATTCAGGAACTGTTATAATGTTAGCATGGTTACCAACTACAATCTCAGCTAAACCTGTGAGAGGTCCACTACATGCTTTATGCAGTACAAAATCTAACAAGCCCCATCACAAGTTTCAACATAACAAATTTCTCTGTTCATGTCTTTGATTATAAACTTAGTTATTATTATAGTAGTGGAAAATAAAGAATGTGATACGGAGTGAGCCAAGAAACTCTCATCATCCTATCTGGGAAAGTTACAAAAAACTTGCCTACCTTTAAAGTTTTAAATATTGTCTCTGAGAAAATGGCATAGTTGTTAAATGGAAATTGGATCCTGTTCTCTGAAATAGAACCTAAACTAAAACTTTTTGACACCCATTAAAATGCCTCTCTCAATAACTGGATGAGAAACCAGAAGTACACTGACTCTGGCAGTTTTCTATTGAATGAAGCATTTCATTAGAAACAACATTCTAAAACTGGGGCTGAATTGTGTTATAGATGTAGCAACACATTTGAAAAACTCTCTCTGGTTTTTTGTGTTTTTTTGGCAGGACCAATTGCCAGCTTCCATAATCCCTCAAAAGAATAGTTTGCAAATGAATGTTCTCTTTGTCTTATGTCAATACTTACTAGCAAAGTAAATATCGTGCAATGTGAATAGGGAGATAATTTCATATAATACAGCTGTGGTGCAATATAATACACTCTGCTGAAAACATCTTGGGTTGGACCTAGTTTTAATCATACTGATAACTGACTCATTGAAATCAATGGAACTTAAGTTAGTTGTGATTTCATTCCCACTTATTTCAATGGTTCTACTCTAAGAATAATTATTTGGACACAAGCCATTAGGTTAAAATAATAGAAATGTTTCTGTAATCAAGAGCCTGCTGTTCAGTTGGCTCTCTTAAGGAAAGATGACTATTTCCATGTTTATTTTAAAAAGAATATGCGTCAATGCATAGCAGCATTCTGGAATGTTATGCTGCATGTTCTCAAAATTACCTTCATGTGATTATGGATCTAGCGTGAAGTAGCAGTCTTTAGCTCTTTGCATTCTGTGCCAGAATGGAACTCCCAATGTTCAGCTGTGGGCTTGTCTTAATTCTGTATAGTAGGATTTTAAAAGTGCCTTCTTTAAAGCTCTTTTTCTTTGCAACTATAGTTTGCAAAATGGCATGGGATTATGTGCAAATTAACTTTTCAATAAGGGATGGATGAGATTGGGGACCTTTTCCCAACTTGCCCCTACATACTCTTCCTAATTGTCAAGTAAGTGTCCTGTGGGGTCACCATACTGTCTCCATTTCTTTGTCCAGTGTGGTCAGCTCCATCGGCAATAGGGATAGCTGGTCTTGGTGGTGGATTTGAAATCGGAATTGAGGTAAGTGTTCAGGGCTGCAGTTTACTTGACAGGTTACAGATTACTTTGATTGGCTAGAAGTGTGACCCCAATTAATCAGCATCTCTGTGTCCCTACAAATTCACAAGGAATCATAGAATCGTAGAATACTAGCATTGGAAGGAGCCATGAAGGCCATCAGTTCCAACCCCCTGCTGTTGCAGGACACCAATTTATACCACCCCACATATTAACCATATTCTGCTTTCCTTAACTATGGTCCAGCATCTGCTTATATAAACCATGGTTAAGGATTGGCTGCAAACCATTATGTGACAACATGGTTCCCACTGAATTTGCAAATTATGCTTAACATTAACTGTGGCTGTGTGCTGTTGTAAGCTGCCCCGAGGCTTTTTGCGAATGGGGCGGCATAGAAATGTTATCAAATAAATATTTGATAACATTTTAAAAATGCAAATAATTAGGCTAAAAACAATCCTGTGGGGTGACAACTGCCATCCTGTGTGATAACTTGGTGGACTTGACCATCTTTTCTTCAATGTCTGCTGCTGTGCACCATGTATGACAGTTATTCCCAAAGGGGGGGTACCACTCCCATGGGGACGGTTGAAAGATTGGGGGGGGGGGGCAGAGATTGTAGTTTTCAATTTGCAGAATAAGTAGTAGACCTAATACAAAGAAAGGGGCATGGGGGCACGAGGCAGCTGCCTGAAAAAGTTTGGGGGCTACAGCTCTACATCATTCTTCTCTGGAACTTTTATTTTTTTCTCTTCTCTGGAGCTGTCTTGCCTGTTCTGGATGTGACTGCTCACACTCTGAAGCAGCAAGTACATGGTTTGGGAGGACTCTGAGATCCATCTCTGTCATTGGAAGCCCAGGTGACCTCAGTGGCCTGGAGTGCCCATCACCAACTTCAGCATCAATTTGGGCATTCCAGTAAATTCCATCAATTTTTGCAGTAAATTGGAAGCTATATCTTGTTGGTCTTACTATGACATCTGACTTCAGGTGGAGCAGATCCTATGGCTTTCCTGGGCTTTGTACCAATTCGCAAAGCCTGTGGGAGTTCATCTCGACGGATCATCAGAGGAGGCCTTGCTGACCATCACCTGATCCACAGGATGTCGCCATGTAATGCCCTAGTAGGCAGGCTTCTCAGTAGCAGCACCACTCTCTGGACACCCCGTCCCTGTGCGGTTCAGAAGGCAGAAAATCTGGCTCACTTCAAACACCACATGACAACACACTGGTCCATTCAGGCTTTTCCTGGCTTTTCATTCCATGAGTCATTCTGCTTCACTTTTACTGCTCCTGTATTTCTCTATAATCTTGTCATTGAAATTGGTTTTAATACTGTATTTTAACTCCATTTTAAATTTGATGGTAATGTTTGTATTTGAACTGCCCAGGGGTATTGTTATATTTAAGTGGTATACAGGTATCACAAATAAATGTCACCATAATCTCACCAAGCAGTCTCTGTTACCCCCTGAAGCATACATACAAATCATGACACAGAGAACAACTAATGTACCTATTCCCTGTACATTTGTGGTGTATTTGGTTCCCTAACGCCAACAAATGGTCTGTCTAATAAGAATTAAAGCAAGGTTGTAGGGAAAGGTTTGTCAGCCCAATATTCCTCCTCCCCACCTTCCCTCAAATTTTTCTATCCAGATTTTCTTCCTGTAGAGCTTTCAAAGTCCACCTAATTAATTCATTTCTCTCAAACAAATGCTACATTTGTGAGGCATTGTTTGGAAACAGTGTATTTAATTCAGTTTTGGTTGTTCCAGGGGAAGCCAAGATAACAATGGGCTGTATTCAGAAAGAACTTCCCTATTCTGTTCTTAATTAAGAGCTTGTTTAAATTTCTGCTTGTTCTGAGCTGACAGCCACTTAACTTGCTTCAGTCTTTTAAGGATCAAGGGGTTTATCAAGCTAAATGGAGGGAAAGTATTAATAAATATATACACAGTTACCTACCTCTGGATGGAGTGCAAATTACCTTTTCCTTTTGAGTTACTCCTCTAGCCTTTTTTATTTTCTTGCTTGCATGTTTGGGGGTTTGTGGGAACTATATTTTGAACAAAAATTCAACACCTTTTAATAGATTTTGTTTAAACTCTGAGAAAAAGGGCTCCAAGAAGAAGATTGGGAGATGACTATGATTTGTCTGGCTTTTGTATCAATCAGCACTGTGCACAGTTGTGCTCTGAGAAATGGATACAATGATCTAGGGCAGTGATAGTGAACCTTTTAGAGACCAAGTGCCCAAACTGCAACCCAAAACCCACTTATTTATCGCAAAGTGCCAACACTACAATAAAACCTGAAAACTGAGGTTTTAGTTTACAAAAAACAACCCTCAAGCCAGTCCAGGCGAATATAGTATATGTATCCTTGGAAGTGCACTGCCCGGCCATGCGAAAGCTCAGACGAGTGGCAGCTAATGAGTCACGGCTCGTAACATCATCGCCTGGTGTTGCGACTCCTTTCTGAATATGCGCATGGCCCCTACGTGCGCTGTCATCTGATGCTTGGATGCTGATGGTTGGATGCTGACGCAACGTGGCTCGCGTACCAACATAGAGGGCTCTGCGTGCCCACTGTGGCACACATGCCATAGGTTTGCCACCACTGATCTAGGGTGTTCACATGTAACTTTCAATGTATCTATAGTTTGTAATCTATAATCACATATGGGTAATCTCATGTAAGGGAATGTACATGTGTTCTTACATAAATTTCTGGATGAGGTCCTAGTATTCTTTCGTCTAGAGGAATATGTAAAAGAATACTTGTGTTTCTGCAGCAGCGTTCAGGCTTTTTGATTTAACAAACTGTAGAAATAAGAATTTGCTTGGAATGGAGTAAGTGGTTTGGTTTTTATTATTATTATTCAAGAAATTGCTCATAAAAGTACTGCTGCTTAGTTTGCATACAAAATAGGTGCTAGTGAATTCAATGGTGCTTGCCAAGAATTGTATACTTTTGGGAAATCATTGCTAGTTCTTTCTAAACTATTATACCAATAAGTAATTTGGATGCCTGTATGCTTTCTTCAAAAAATTTATTACAATTTGGGTTTTTAACATTTCCATTAATTCCCGTTTTCCTTCCTGCCCCTGCGACCTAGGTATCAGACCTTGTCATAATACTGAACCATGAAAAAGCAGTTGTTGCTTTTGCAAAAGGTGGCAATCTTACTCTGGGAGGCAATTTTACAGTGGCGATTGGACCTTTAGGAAGGTGAGTAACATCAACATGCTGAAGGTTCATAGTGAACCCTTTACTGCATTCTTTCTGTATTTTTTCAGTAAATGGAAAGCTGTATTTTTGGTCCTGCTATGATAGTTTAACTCAAGCAAAGCAGGGATTTGTACTTGGGATGTGTACCAATTCACAATGCCTGTGGGAATTCACCTCCATGAACCCATCCTCATGTCAAAATGAGGATGTTTACAGAAATGAGTCAGGGGAGAAGGATGGTTCTTGGTCTAGCCTTCTCCCTGGCATTCTATGTTACCTGTTCTGAAGAACATTACTACCAATGTTTAAAAATGGGTGCAATATGAATCAGCCACTGGCAGCCAAATCCAGCCATGACTCCTAGGAGGCCCTATGCTGCCGCTTTTCACACATGTGCGTGGCTCATACATTTCTCTCTACCTTTTTCATGTCCTTTCTACCCTTTAGTTTAGGAAGAAAACTTAAAGGTGTACAGCAGGGGTATAGGATGTGGTGCCTTTCAGAATTTTTTTGTAGAGAAGAAGTTTGTAGGGAAGAGATAACGAACTTCCATTATCACGCTGGTAAATGCCGGGTCGTGGGCTGTGGGGGCCTAATCTAAGCTCTGTAGGGGCTTAGAGAGATTGCTTGGCGAATCCCCCATAGGATGTGGAATGGCAATTCCACATTTAGTGGGAGGAAATCAAGCTTTTTTCAGCCGGGCAAGACCAGAGGGAGTGCTGCCCTCTTTAAGTTCTTGACATACGATTTTTTTTAGCTTTTGTTTTAACTTTTGTGAACACACCAGATCTATTGGAACGTATTTTTGTTTTTTTGCTTTTTCTGCAATGATACCCATGGAATAAGCTGGTTTTTTTGCTAATTAAAAAGCCCTTTGGATGGTGGGGGAATGAAACCTCCCCCTGCCCCACGGAGTTGAAAAGCGGCGAATTGCATAACGGAGAGAAAGACAGAACTGTTTGTAAGTAAGGAAAAGATTTACCTTCTTTAATCTCTCCAAGGGCGAATAATTGTGCTGTGGAATTGAGTAATAGAGGATTTTTCTCTGATTGGTCTGTGTTGGACTGCTGCCAAGAAGTAGCGGCCATTTTTCGCTTTGTTCCGGGACCCTTGGACACCTGTCAAGCCTTGATAATTTACCGCTACCATGGAGGGAATACAGAAATCATTCCTGGAAATACGATCTTCTCTAATAACGGTGCAGTTATCCCAGCAGGCAATAATAATGCGTCAGAAAACTGTTTTAGAGCGACTTGATTGTTTTTTAACTGAACAAAAAAGTGGCTTTGATAAATTAGATATTGCTTTTAGTTTCGCTTTTGACAAGCAACCTGCATCTGAACAGAATATGCAAAATATCCAACAAGCAGAAGGAAAATCGGAAACTGGAAAGAAAATAGGTGCAACTGATTTATGTGGTATGCTGGAGAGGGAGAAGATAGCTTGGCCACAATTCAAGACATATGATTTATTCCAGACATTACGAAGCAGATTTCCATGGGATCTGCATGTCATCTTAGAGAAGGACAATTCAGCTGATCATCTGAAAGAGGCTATGTTTATGTGGCTGCAACTGAAGACTCCATTACAGACACTATGGTGGATTAATGGGGAAAAAAACAGAAAGGTCTGGTAGAGGGGTAAAGAAAAAGAAAAAATAAACATGGCAGGGGTGTAAAGGGAAGATAAGGGAAATTTCTTACTATTCAAAAACAAAAATAAAAGGGTGATTCATATAGCTTGATATGCTCACATGTGAGGTAGAAAGGTTAAGCTTTCATTGCTGGTGAAATAGTAGCAATTTAGCTTAGTGAAACCTTGTTTAAAAGGTATTATTGTTAAATGGATATCTTTGACTGTATTTTTAATAAGCTATTGATGTTGATGATATATGTTAAAGACTGTAAACAGCTGGACTTTTATATGGAACTAACCATATTTGATTAAATGGTGTTTAAATGGGATGAAACACTAGTAATTTAGCTTAAAGAAAAATGTTCTAAAAGATATTATAAGTATTACTTATTATCAAGTCGAGTAGGTAAGAAAATTGTAGAGATGTTAAATGGATATTTTTAATGTTTATATGTAATTGTGGTTGAGGAAGTTATTTGCTATTAGAAAATTGAAAAGATTTTGAATTGTTTGGAAATGTTTAGATCAAACTTACCACTGAAGGAGAAAGAAAATATTGCAATTTCATTTAACTCGGAGATGTTTTTCCTTTGACACTGTCTAAGAGAAACAGGACTTTGTAGGAAATGATGAATTTGGTTTCATGGATGAAGAAGAGGAAGATAGTGACTTCTATCCAATTCAGATTATTATTATTATTTTATTGGCTGGAGAAACGGGACTTGGTTTTGATCTAATGATGCTTTCAAGTTATTATAAATGGATTCTAGTAGGATTGTGGAATGTTGGAAGATGTGTAGTGGGGGACTAAATCTGGTGTGTGCGATGATTGTTGTTTGTAGTTTTTAAAATCTTAATAAAATTTAAAAAAAAAATTTTTGTACTGCGGTGCCCCTCAGCCAGCATTGTGAATGGTGAAGGATAATGGGAGTTGTAGTCTGATCAAATCTAGGAGGCCACACTTTCTCCATCCTTCAATACACGAACATGCTTTTTCTAGCTGTCTGCAGTATCTTGGTAGAATAGCAAAGACTAGTTACAGGACAGCAGTTCTACTTTTTCCCTTGTTTTCAAGGATCTGTAACATGCTCTAAAGAACCTAATAAAGCTTCTTTTATGTGAGTAACTTGTAGCGTAAAGTTTATTTTGGTGTGATAGCAGAAACTGGGCAGAATGTGATGAATTAGCAAATTAAGTTGAAGGACACTTTTGATAAATATATCAGTTTTGATAGAACAGAAAACCATTTGCAAGTGATCAGGTTTTATTTTTGTGCATGCATGAGTATGAATTGCTTATTTGCACAGTAAGCCAATGTGGCTACATTTCATATTTTTAATTATTCTTAAGCATTTTGCAAGGCAATGGTGAAATACAAGCTGCCCCTCATGCATTTTCCTTCTCCTACTTCCCCCAGAAATCTGGAAGGTGACGTAGCCTTGAGAAGCTCTGCTGCTGTCTATACCTACTGCAAATCTCGAGGGTTGTTTGCAGGGGTTTCTTTGGAAGGAAGTTGTTTGATTGAAAGAAAGGAAACAAACAGCAAGTAAGTTGCTGGATGCATGAAATTGAACTCATGTGGCAAAAACACTGTGAACAAAAGCATTCCATCTGTAAAAGTGCTGTTTTGATCAAAAAAAATTGCATCCAGTTTCCATAAAATAATGCAAGAAATATCCAATGTTATATAAAGTCTGAATATGTTAGCATTGTATCCTTGGATGGATCCAAGTCTGTGGTCTCATTATGTAGTCAACTTTGTGCAAAGGGTTGCTTAGGAGCATGCTACTGGGAGTCCACAGTGAAACAACCAAAGTGGAGTAAGGCAGCCTTCCCCAGCTTGGTACTTTCATATAATTTGGACTATGGTTCTCTGCATCCCTCAGGCATCACAGGATATAGGAAGCTATTTTACATTGTTGAAGACCACTGGGCCATCTAGCTAAGTATGGTCTGAGCTGACTAGCAGTGGTTCTGCAAGGTTTCAGACCAGACTCTCACCCAGCCCTGTCTGGAGATGGCACAGGTTGCACCTGGGACCTTGTGTATGGAAACCGTGCATCTGCCACGGCCAGTCTTATCAACAAGTAGTTGGACTCCATATAAGGCAACACTGTGCTCATTCTCCATCATATGCTAGAGCAGTTCTACAGTTGTTCTTGCCAACACGGTAAATAAGAAAGCTCTTGCATACTGAAGGGGTCCCTATGCAGAAGGAGTGTTGAATCTCATTCCCATGGGCCAAATCCGACCCACTTGCGTTCCTAGTATAGGCCTTTGAGGTTTTCTAGGTGGCCTCTACTTTGTCCAATTTCCATCAATGTTTGGTGTTTTCCAGTTTTCTGTGGATTTTTTTCTGTTTTCTAAAAGTTGAAATGCGTTCCCTCAGAGATTGTGACTGGCAGAAGAGGTTTAAGCTAAAGTATACCAGTCTTTTGGTCTGACTCCTTTTGTCTTCAGCTGTCTCCACCACTGGAATATGGTACTGAGAACATTTCCAAAACAGACTGAAAGTGTTTGACAATTATGCGGTAAATGGCTGAGGTGCACCAAGTACTCTGCATCAAGGCAGCAAATTTCTATACGCTTGAGACTTCAGTGCACACAATTGCCAGTAATCAAAATGCAGCATGGGATAGTTTCGCTGGGAGCAGGTTTTGTAAGAATTGCGGGTATGCAGGTGGGCTGCCTGCTGTATGCTGAACAAATACATGAACCTGAATTTCACCTGAGTGTTGGTTAGAAATGCTTGAAGGCTTTGCTTAAGTGCATTCTTTACAAGTTTGTGCACCAATAGAAAGAAAGCATGAATAAAGGCTTCACTTAAAGAAGGAAACCATGCAGTTTCTTAGGTATCCTATTGATACCAACAGTGAACTGCTAGTGCCTACCATTATGGGGTCAGGATGGCTCTATCCATGCAAGAGACATGTGGGCAACCCTGTGATTTGCCAAGTGCAGCATTTTTAAGGGGAGCCTCCCCCCCCGCCTCCCGCTTACGACACGCCCTGTGGGGAGTAAACATGGTTAGCAGCAGAAAATACTGACTGTTGGAGAACGGGAACACAGAAAATGAGGCAGAGGAGGAATTAAATGGAGTATATTGGGAAAGTGTGTGACTGATTGCCTGAAGCACAGCACCCTGCAACGTTTGTTTGCAAGCCCCATATAGCCTATCTCTTGAAGCATCAGCATGAAACAACCACATATATTTATTTTATTGATTAGGCTTATTTGTGTTTAGTCGCTAAGTTGTGTCCGTCCCTTCACGACCCCATGGACAACATTCCTCCAGGCTCTCCTGTCCTCCACCATCTTTTGTAGTCCACCCAAGCCCATACCCTCTGCCCCAGTGACCCCATCTCGCCACCTCAACCTCTGCCATCCCCTTTTGCCTTTAGTCATTCCCAGCATTAAGGTCTTCTCCAGTAAGTGATTTATAAAAATAATTTAAGGGTATAGTCCTATGCATGTTTAGACAGGAAAAAAATGTTCTACTTCTTCCAGAATTCCTCAGCCAGTCAGCTGGGAAGTGTAGGACTTCTTTTTTAAAACATGCATTGGACTGTGCCCTAAAATACTTTTTTAAAGTATAGAAAAACCAGGTGGGCAGAGTGCTTTAATTAGCAAACAAACTGGGCGGCACAGTCAACTGATGAAGGCCTGTGTGAAGAAAGGAGTTTTTAACTGGTGCCCAAAGCCTACTGCCATTCATGCCTCTCAGTTACTAGGGCACTCCATAAGGCGGGTGCCACCACAGAGCAGGTCCTCTTCCACATCGCTGCATGATGGCAGTTGGCAGGACACGATGCAGCTAGTAAGGCCAGTAAATGTCTTGCTCAGCAAAACATGGTGAAAGTCTAATGTTTATTGTGTTTATGAGAAAGTAATGGAGTGATGCATGGAGAGAGCTACTGCATGAATTGTTTTCCCCCTCCCGCACCATACCCCTCTTTGCGGACTAACGTAAAGCATGATTTTTCCAGATTCTACGGCCAGGATATTCGTGCCAGTGCCATCCTGTTTGGTGACATGGTGCCTCCTGCCCAGGCGCAAGAACTTTATGACATCCTTGGATCTTTTACTCTGCAGTACGAATCTCAGGAGGGAAGAAACTGTGCATGGCCTGGAGTCACAGGAGAACCAAAAAAGGTTGGCGTGTCTGCTTTGTACTTGCTTAGAATGGATCCAGGACAGAACGCTCCTTCTGCAATACTCTTTCATTGGGTTTGTGTGGCTTACTCTTTCAGTAGAGCAACCTCTGTCATGGCATGAGCCTGAAACTTGCATTTGTCGTTGGAGAACTGCTATAGAAAGAAAGGGAAACCTCAGTGCAGGAGGACAAGCCTTGGCCCTTCCACCGCTCGCCCTAGTTCTCAGCAGGACAAGGCACAATTGGAATTGGCTGGGTTGCACTCGCAAGTAGTTTAAGTAGTCTCTTCAGCTTCACTCCCAGAAAGAGGAAAATGCTCTTGAAAGTGGAAGTGCTACTGAAAGGAAGAGCTGCTCTTGAACTTGCGGTGTTCTTAAGGGGCTGTTTGAGCATTTCTGTGCATCAGCCACACCCATCATTTGGCCTAGTGAAAGTGATTTAATCATGCTCCTTTGCCATCCCCAAACACTCTTCCAGAGCTGCATTCATCCTGGTGAGAGGGGCCATAACGTGCAGGGCAAGGATACATAATGCTACTCAGGACCAGTTCTCCTATTTCTAGAGAGTCGCAACGTGCACTGGTTTTCTGCATCTTATTCATTTAAAATATTTATTAGCTGCTGCTCAGCTGAAACTCTTAAATCTGTCATGCAAGAAGAGGCAGCAGAATTACTGGCAATGAAATACATCAATCAGAGCATCAGTAAAAGTCCTGCTTTCCAAAAAAAAATCCTATGTGAAAGATTGTGAATGCCTCTCCCACCAAATATGAAAGATGCATGTCATGTCTTGGTGGTCAATTTTTATAACCATTTTTGTGAAACGGTTATACTTCGAACAGTGCTTACCACTATGTAACCTGGGTAGTGAATGCACCTGTTTATTGTCCCTTGCCCCTCATTTTCTGATGCCACCAACCATATCTGGTACAATTCTTTATTCTTCTAATCAGTAGCTGGGTTAGGCTAGAGGCATGCGACCTGAGAGATGGATATATATGTTTAAGCTAAACAAAATAGATGATATTTTTCAACCTATTTATGACACAAGATGTATAGTTGTTTAGATTAGGCTGCATTCAGTCTATTCTTTATATTGTATGTTTGTATTTTATTCTAATGTTTACATTTTTAATTTATGATTATAATTATTTAATTTATTGTTGTAAGCCGCCCCGAGGCTTCGGCGAATGGGGCGGCATAAAAATGTTTTAATAAATAAATAAATGTTACATGAGCTCGCTCACCTAACTGATGGTAGTAGTTGATTGCCCTTATCCTGCTTTCTCTTTAGTTAGGACTTCATGCGCTAAGATACAGCAGTAGAGGCTTCTCAGTTGCTGCTCACTGAATACTTACAGCTTCCCATGCTTGACTCCTTGTCGCTGACTTGGGGGGCTTCAGCCCTAAGGCAGCTCTGGAAGTTTTCACCCCCTGCAGGTCTGCTCAGCTCCTGCTTCCTAGGATTTCAGCTCTGCTGCTCTGCCTCCTTTTTCCTCTGGACTACTGCCTGCTGCCACGTGTTGTCCCGTCAGGTCTCAGCATCTTCTGCCAGGCACTGTTGGCTGCTCCTTCTTCCCAGGCTCCTCTTCGCCTGATTCCATGCTCTTCTTTGGCACTAGCCAGGACCTTTCATTTTCTCCTGCCCAAATCCCCCATGCAGCTGCAGCTTCACCTCCTGGCAGCCCGATAGCTTAGTGGCCCACGCTTGAGACAGAACATAGTAATATGGAAATAACAGTACCCATGACTTGGTTTGCCAGTTGAGTTAGAATTCATTCCTCCCATTGTTCTTCTCCCAATTACTATGCTTTCAATTATGGCACTGCATCGGGTTGTCTTAACTAGACCTGTCGTTGCTGTTCAGTAGACATGGAAGTTTGTAAAGCCTCTTCTGCATTTCCTTAAACCTCCTGATTCCGTACAGAATTGACTAAAGGTAACTCACTTCCCCTGCCAGGTCAATGAACATTCCTCGAAGCAACAGTCCCGCAGGACTTCTGAAAAATCCACGCCAGAAGGTACTGTCTAACCAGCAGTCTGCTGGCTCTTTTATACAAAGTGCATTTTAATTTTATGTGCTCTCAGTTCTATTTTCCTACACTAATTGGTAAATTTACTGCAAATCATTGGTGGGAAGGTGGGTGCTGCTTTTAAATGCCAGATCAGTGCAGAATAAAACCTCCCTCATCTGCTATCTAATCATGGATTGAGGCAGCCCATCTGGCATGTATAAGGGAGATCTGAGTAGGTGACCAAGGAGGATTTAGTCTCTTTCAGGTGTGCCTACCAGGGTTCTTGGTTCAGCATCAGGACAGATGTGAGGGCCGGGGAGGGGATTGCTGTGGTCTATCGGAATTCCATCTTTGTCTCCATCTGACAACAAGCCTGGAGTGTTGGACCAGAGGGACAGATTGTGGATTCTGCTGGTATATCGCCCACCTGCAACCCATACATCTCCCTACATGAGCTGACAGAGGTGGTCTTGGGTGTGATCATGGAGTCTGCTGATCCTGAGGGACTCAACACTAATGCTGAGGACACCCTATCCAAGGCAGCTCAGGATTTCAGGATCACCATGACAACCATGGGACTATCCTAGCATGTCACTGGCCCAACATAGGTGGTGAGGCATACTCTAGACTTGGTCTTCTCAGCCAGTTTTGAAGACCGTGCTCTGAGTGTGGGGACATGGGCTCAGTCCTTGTGTCATGGTCAGATCACTGCCTGCTGAGATTTAGAGGGTGGAGAATCCACTGTAACCTACTTGCTGGACAGTTCCAGGAAAAAAATCTGTTGCAACCACTGGGACTTGGACTCCAGAGTTGCAGCAGTTGAATCGGTGGAGTTATCCAACCTGAAGATGGATCAGAAACTGCAGCTGGTGCAGAATGTGGCAGCCAGATTAATAACTGGGACCTGGAGGTCCAAACACATAGAACAGTCCTGGCCCGCCTGCATTGGCTGCCTGTATGCTTCCAGTCCCAATTCAAGGTGCTGGTCTTAACCTATGAAGCTCTGCATAGCTCGGGATCACAATACCTGTTGAAGCACTTCTCTCAGCCCTGACTTACCCAGCCACTATGCTCAACCTCTGGGGTCTTCCTCTAGGTACCAATCTTCTGAGAGGTTCAGAGGATGGCGACTAGGGGAACGGTATTTTCAATGCCCCCCCCCCCACGATCTTTGGAACAACTTTGTGACCAGCCTGGCCCTAAATTTGCTGTCTTTTCAGTGCCAGGAGGCCTTTAAAGATTTCCCTGGTCATTCAGGAGCCTGATACAATTAGCCAGATGCCTTTCTTTTACTCCTGGCTGGGTCTTTTTAAGTTGTCTTTTTATTGTTATTTTATGTTCTTTTAAATTAATTTTGAATTATTAATGTTTTTATTTCATTGTTTGTACACGTTATTCTAAGCCCCACCCCCAGAAAGCTTCAGCTGCATGTGATAGAGAAATGAAATTAATAACAATATTATTTATTTATTTGATTTTTAGCCCACCCCATTATTTTTACTTGAATACAGTTCTATTAAATTAATGCAATTAATAGACTAAGGCTGAAATTATACTCTCCTTGGGTCTAAGCCATATTTACATGCAATCTTGTGCATATCTGCTCAGCGCTAAGTCCCATTACATTCATTAAGGCTCACTCCCAAACATGCAGGATTGTCACCTTAAAGATTTTTTAAAAGGATAATAGCTGTCTTGCAGACACAAACTGTGCATGGTTAACAGGAGGGAATATAGGAACTAAACATGCAGTCAAATTTTATTATGATACATTATTTACAAACCAAGTCAATGTGTTCTGTTAAAATTATTTCATCAGAACTTGCCTGCATTTCGTGTAAACATTGAATATTGTGTCAGATTTTTTTTTCCTTCAGGACTGAGCCTAATGGACTTCTCTTTTGAGAGCATTCAGATTTTAATCTATTGCACCCATGCTCCAATTCTTCTGTCATACAGATGTAGAGAAGATGCAGATGCGCCCTTAATAATCCATTTCAGAAGTTATCTTTTGCTTTGTGCAGACAAGTGGGGGCTTGATATGCCCAGTCTGTCAGGGAAACCCGTAAGGGACTGGGCTTTTCTTGTGCTCTGTGAAGCCTTTCCTCCTTTCCCATGATCTGTTGGTACTTATTGGTTCTGCATCACTCTGTTTAATTGTTACTGTCAGTTTTGCAATAGCAATGCTAGTTTCGCAATATCAAAATAAAGTGATCATTAAACAGGATGTATTAACTAATATGCTATGCTCTGAATTCTTCCACAGCTCTAAGAACAGCAAACAGACTTTACCCTGAGCTCCCCAGTTACTCTGCTGCAATGGGTATGTGTGTTTATAATATTGCCACTCCTAAAATTCAATGGAAGGTTTGCAAATTCAGGAAATCATTCGAAAGGAAATTCTGATACTTGCATTTCAAATTGGGCCACTACTCCATGCTTGGACTTGTTCCAGCACACAACTTGATTTCCATTTTTTCTTTTCTTAGTGAAGAAATTTAGGGGAAAGGTTACTTAATAAAACTTACAAGGTTTGCTTTTAGTAGACTTTATCCAAGGGCCAGGCTAATTTAATGTTACTTTCATTCACTGTTGTTGTTGGGAAAGGGCCAGGGTCCCAAGAGATTAATTCTATTTGCTGAATTTCTTTACAACACAAATCAAACCACACATAATTTAAGAAAGCATGATACTTCGTCAGACTTATTAGAAAGACATTTGAACTCAACTGTGCCGGGCCCCGCAGCTGCTTTTAAGAACCAAAACATTGGAAGATCTCATCAGGGATCTCCATCATTGCATCAAGATGTCTCAGAGCACTTCGAAAGCCAGAGTGGCTCTCCTTATTCCACTAACCACTACAGTATATCTTTTTCATTCATTACATTTCCATTCCATCCAATAGCCAAAGCTCTCTGGGTGGTACTCAGCATGCTAAAGCACAATATAAAAGCTTTAACATGCCAGAATTTAAACCAGTTTAAAGACAAGTTAAGCACCATAAAAATAATTAACAGGACCTGCAGGGGGGAAAGCCTTGCAACATCCCATCACATGCAGTCAAATTCCCAGGAATAATGGAAGTGACACTGGAGCCAAATAGAGCTTACCTGGCAAAACGTTTCACAGTTGTGGGGCCACCACCAAGAAGACTCTCTTCCTTGTGGCCATCCTCTTGCCCTCTGCAGTGGAGGGCCTCAGATGGGTGGCATAAGGGTAGGTTTACACTAAGAGCAGCACTCTTTGGGGATTGCAGTTCTGAGTTTTGTACTGTGCCAGCCGTCTATACAATGTAGCCCAAAACACTGAACTACATACCAGTGAGGCCACCTAGTGGTTTTGGTGTGTTTTAATTATCCCATAGAGAAAGCTGTACAACTGAACAACTTGAACACCCTCCCCTTCCACTCTGGATCCAGATTTACTGTGTTGTTCCTTGCACACACAGCTGCTATGCACGGCTGGATGATAGGGCCCTTCTTCCCTGACTTTCTCACCACTGTGAAGGTGGAAGATAAGCTAGGAATGCTGGAGAGTGAGCTGCGTTGCCGTGCTGCGCACGTGTGTAAGCCTGGGAAGACTTTGTTATGTCTTCAGGACTTCAGGGCTGGCTCCAGAGTGGATAGAAGCTCAACAGATCCCAGGACAGCAAAGGGGCCACTGTTCATGTGGGGGAATTAACCAGGTTGTGGACATCTACCAATAATGCATGGCATTTATATAGTGTTAGAGCAGACAAGGGGCTTCAGGTGCGTTCTCCCACAGCAAAAAGCTATTTAAGGGAAATGGGTGGTGTTGGCATTGTATGGATGGGGTGAGGCATTAACTGAGAGTGTGTAGCTGATTCCTGATGAGTGTTACTGGTGCAGAATCAGACTGGACTGTGGCTCCCGCACCGCAGTGGTAATATAAGAATTAGCCCTAGAGTTGTTCTGGGCACAATCCTGTGGCCTGCCAACATTGTCTGGGAGGTCATAAGATTTGTCAGAGGCTCAGCTCCTAGATCTAAAAGGTGGGACTGTGAAGGCCGAGGCCTGCCTCACCCCACCCTCCACATCCAGCATGGGAAGAACCACAGTGGCTGCCCCCCTGAGGTTACAACTAGGCCTTGGAGCATGGAAGGGGGGGCATGCTGTGGGAGGGGTTGGAGGGGAGGAGGCTGGAGCTGAGGGCTTACACCAGTTCCTGTTGGTGCTCCAGCTCCCTTTCCTCGACCTCTCGGGTGCTTCATCTAGACCAGGGGCCTCAAACTCACAGCCCGCGGGCCAATTTCCGGGATGGGCGGCGCACGGGGGAGGGCCCTGCGGCCTTCAAAGCACCAGCGGCGCCCGGGCCAGCCGTGGGATGAGCGGCCCACCACCACCGCGGGGGTGGAGTACTTGATGCGGCCCAGCCTCACCCAGACTCTACTTCCAGCGGCCCCCAGGTCAGTTGAGTTTGAGACCCCTGGTCTAGACGGCTGCAACAGCTGCTGAGATAAAATGTAGGGCTTGAGGTGCAGCAGTGGCAGAGATTGCTGCCATTGCCTGGCCTCATTCCTACCGCTGAATGCTCATAAAGTCTCCATGTTTGGAGGCTTACATGCATCTGCCATTGAGGTGGTTGGATTACACCCTTTCAGCTGCAATCCTGTGTACACCTATGAGGAACTTAGCCCAATTAAACCTTTTGGGACTTATTCCTGAATTGGATTGCATTACCTATCTGTGGTGAAAATTGTGACCAGAATTATTATGTAGATGGCAAGATGCTGATATGAATATTATATATCTGAGATGAATGTATTCCATAGTTTAGTGGAATCTGGTGGCTAAATGATTTGTTCAGTAATGGAAAGAATGTTTAACCTGACTGTTGACCAAGGTATGTGTGGTAGCTGCTTCTTTGTTTGTTTGTTTATTGCATTTTAAAACTACCTAGTAATCCAAGTTCTCTGGGCATTGTCCAGTATATTAAAAACATAAAATGCAAACAATAATGCAGTGGATAAAACAGCACATAATAAAACCAAGATAAAGCCAACAGCAAAGAGTAGAATTGCTAGTGCATATGCAACCAAGTTAAATCACCAGCAACGGTTTTTTAAATGCCCTGGAGAATAAAAGGGCTTTATCTGCTGTTGATCAAGCTATAACACAGGTGCCAGGTGAAACGTCTGTGGTTAAGGAGGGTGTTGAGCAGGTAGGGTGCCAGTGCTGGGAATGCCCTCTGTCCTGTAGTCGCCCACCTCAACCTCATTTGGCAGGGGTACCTAAAGGATATGCTTAGCACTGTGGATGGGTAAATACAAGAAGAGATTCTCCTCTAGCTAACTCAGCCCCAAAGTGTGCAAGGGCAAACATGGCACTTTGAATTGGACCTGCAAATGGTGGCCTGGGCAGGTGGCAAGAGGCAGGCAGCTCAGTTTTATTGACATATATACGACCCCATCAACCAGTTACATTGACTAGCCACCGTTTTGAACTAAGTATCGTTTCTGGACCACTTTCAAAGACAGACCCATATACAGAGCATTCCAAAAATCAAAAGTTGTGACTTAAAAACATTTTCTTCCTCTTTAAGCAAGAGGAATGTATGTCAGTTAAACCATTCATTTCAGAGCAGTAGTAAGAACTTGGGCATAAAAACTGGGTTTCAATATGTTTGTAATAATTTCTAGCGGACAACCTTTAGCAGATTATAAACTGTAAAAGTAGCAAGCCAGATCAGGGTGACTAATGGATATTTGTATCAGAAGATCCCTAAGCAGAAGGATAATTGTGTGTGTGTCTATAAATCATGGTGACATATGCAGTTTTAGTAAATATTAAACAATGAATCCTCTGCCCTTTTTCCCTTTTAAAGGGGTTTATGTCAGCTTCGGCTATTTTAGCTGTTTCTCTTATAGCTTATTTTTGTCTAAAATAAACATCCATCTAGTAGCTTCCCTCCCCCGGTTGTTACTAATATAAACTAAGTTTGAGCTGATCACAAAAAAGGAAATCCCAGGAAATAATTTCTAATACTATTTTTGCAGTTCTTCTGCCAGGATAATGTTATTTCTGGCATTTGTGCTAACATTTAAATAGAACAGCCCTGTGCTGTCATGAAATGAACAAAAACTGTACCATGTGGATTTCTGATCATCCTGGGGCAAGGGGAAATACCTTGAAAATCCCTGCTACTGCTGAGCCAGCTGATCACAAAGACATGCAGAGATTGAGGTCAGTGCACGCTAGGACTAGAAAATTGAGGTCTTTGTTTTATGTGTGTTTTGGGTCAAGGCCATTTTGTTAAACCTATTGAGTAATTGGCAGGGACGAAGAACTTGTACCTTTTAATATCCTTACCTTGGCAAGTGTGTAGTTTTCACAGATGAAGCATGTTTAATGTACAGCAATGGTTTCAGCAGTAATTAAAAGTACCATTAAACATACACACCTCAAGCCCCTTCCATCCAGCGGTAACTTGAGACTTGCAGCAAGGGATAAAGGAAAACAGAGCTTAAAAGATTATGAAGGCATAGAATGTCATCGATGCATGAATGCCAATTGTAGGACCAGTACATAACAGTTGAGGAGGTTGTGGAAGTGTTGATAGACCCAAAGCTTTCACAGATTTGATAGGAAAGACTTCAAGCTTTTGCCACATACTCTCTGTGGGATAATCGAGATCTGATGGAGGCACCCTGTTACTTGTTCCTCCTAGAGATGTTCATATATAAACCATAGGCCAAGGACTCATTTTAATATTGAAAGGGCTGGTAGGATGAGGGGCTACTGGCAGAATGGTAAAAAAGTTCAATAGGTAGTATAGTGAAGATTCCTAGTATATAAAACCCTGGGTAGATTCTTTTAGCTGTGCCAAGGCACTAAGGCTTTGCGCTTCTGAAGAAGAGCACCAAGGGAGCCCCTTGAAGCTGTCTTGCCCCTCCTCTCCTCTCTCCTCTCTCCTCTCTCCTCTCGTCATTCTCTAAAGAAGAGCTGCTTTTGTTGTGAGAAGGAAACTGTTTGCCTTTCTGAAGTGGTTTTGCCACTACCGTCTCTCATGGTTAGGGCTAGAATTAGAAGCTGACAGATTCTGGAATAGTGGGAGTGGAACTTATAAAGTCCATGGCAAGAGTCCCTGTGTTTAGTTCTAAGCAAAGGAGGAGAGAAGTTGATGAACCCTCCGGGAACCCTCTGTGAATGATATTAGGAGGGTGAGTACCTGGAAGAGGGCTGTCTCTGCGGTGGCGCCCCATCTATGGAATGCGCTTCCCAGAGAGGTCCGCCTGGTGCCATCGTTATTTGTTTTTCGGCGCCAGGCAAAGACCTTTTTATTTAAAACTTATTTTAATTGTTA